AATATAATATAATATTATTTATAATATAAATATAATATAATATTTATATTATTAATATAAATATAATATAAATATAACATAATATTTATATTATTATATTATATTATATTTATTATACATAAATAATTATTTTATATAATATTATATTATAATAATAGTAATATAATTAATATAATATATAATTTAATTATTAATTTAATATTATATTATATAATAATATAATAATATAATAATTAATATAATATTAATAATATAACAATTAATATAATATTATTATATTATACGTAATTAATTATAAATATAAATATATAATATAATATAAATATATAAAATATAACGCATCAAACGCATTTACTTATTTACATACTTATCTGCATTTTACATACATGTACATACTTGTTCACATCTGCACGCGCGCGATGTGCGAACAGTGACACGATTTAATTTCAACGCGTCTTCGCGTCTTACCACCGCTCCTCCGTAATTGCATTCTTTGAAATTTCCGGGATAACCGCGCCTTCATAAATATGCAAATCTGACGCGTGCTCCTCCATCGTTGTAATGCCTTTGATACTCGCAATAGTCGAGAACACTCGAGAAAATACTGGCCAGATTATACTTCGTTGGCAGTGTTTCCAAATGAAATTGCAGTACGTATTTAATCGCCGGTGGAGAAAAACGCGTTTCGTTCTCAAGAATTTCCGTTGCTCCCGGCTTTTGTTTCCTGTTAATTAAAAGTAGTTTCCTGTTAATTAAAAATTCACAGAGGAGGAGCGAAAGTAACGAGAGAAATTCGTTTAAGTTGGCAGATCGTTTCTCAAGTGTTTCGCGAACGTTCTCCGCGTGCGATTATTAAACGAAAACTATCAATCCTTAATTTTACGTTTCGAACGAAAGCTGGAATCTGAAATGAAAAAGTTACAAATGAGCAATGTAAATAGCATACGGATTTTTTTCGAAAATCATAATTATTATAAAAATAGCAACTTTTCTTCCGAAGTGAAAAATCTTACCAATGCAACTGAAATGTTTAAATATTTGTGAATAATTAAATAAATGAGATACCAAAAAGATAGTACTCTCGTTATTGTAACATTTTATATAGTTTCGAGTTTTAGATAGTTTATAATACCTAAAAAATTAGGACTATTCGTTCTGTAATAACTTGTGAAAAAAATTTTTATCTTTTACTTTTGAACTTTGTACGTTTATTTAATTCACGGCGTAAATTATTTAGATAAAATTCACGAAATGAATAAAGTGTAAAATATTCTAAGTTTAAAATTTCTAAAAGATGTGAAATTGATCTAGTTTATCATGAGATGAATGTTTAATAATTTCTTCGGGAGTATAAACTCTTCGGAATATGAACGTTGATGCCGAGTTCGTCAGGTATCTTTTTGCCACTCTGAACGCAACTTGAAACTGCGTTAGGAAAGTTTAAAATCGTCAAGAAACTTTACAGTGTACTCTCCTTGCTCCATCGTCGTTGGAACTTTCCCCCTTATTGCGTTTTCATCCCGAAAAATGGGATGAGCAGTCCAATATATTACGAACGTCGCCTTTGGCATTATATATGCTTTCATTTGCAATTTTCCGCCGCAGATAGTTTTCATAATCGACTTGGTGTTGTTCTTTTACCTTCGCTTTAATTGAAGGAAAATAATAAGATTTTTTTAAAAAAAGAGTTTCCTTTTAATATAGTATTTTCATTCGAACGAATGAATTTTCTTTCATTATCTTTATTATGACATGATATGAGCATATAAATCTTTAATTTGAAAAATACTTGAATATATTAGGCCGTGGATGTGAAAAAGTGTGCTTTATGACTTTTTAATTATATCAGGGGAAAGAACGTGCGAGTAAAAATTATAAAGCACCTCGGTAAAATATTTTAGATGTTTTCTCTGCAATAGATTTCAACTTTACACTTCACAACTTTATATTAAATAGGATTAAAAATTCCACTCATCATTGGGAGATAGCTAAACAAACTGCGGGTTTTTATGTAAACTCACTCAATTTTGTGAAAATAATGGAAATGTAGATTTGTTTCAGCCACCTCCTTAAGTACCATTCTTTCATTAGAATATTTTATTTACGAAAAGCATGGAATGTACAAACGGTTATGAATATTGTATCGATTATGAATCGACTTTGATGTTTATTTTAACATCTGTCGAAATATAATATCCATTTCAAATTGCATAGACGCGAGGAGGGTTATATATCGAATTATATACTCTATTTTAAATATTTTATGTATTCGCATTCTACGGATTTTAGTACCTCTAAATATCTCGCGGATGCATGGAAATCCAGAGTTTAATCTCTCTGCCCTTATTCCTCGATTCTCCTCCACCAAGCAACACAAAACAAACCTCAGACTGGAATGAGAATCTCGAGCATTTTCCAAAAAAAAAGAAAGGAAGAAAAACACAAAAAATGTTGCGTTTCATCGAAACGCCTGTTCCATTATCCAACAGGTCTCGAGCCAGAAAACTTTTCGTATTAACATCCCCGTGCTCTTCAAAAAGCAGAGTTGAGAAGTTTTATTCGAACAACGAATAACGAATAACGAATAAATCTGTCAAATTTATTCGTAACTAACGAATAACGATTTTGTTCGAGGAAAAATTATTCGTTATTTACGAATAACAATATTATTCGAAACAAAGCTTGTTCGAAAATGACTTCATTCGTTATACAAACTCGCCTAAAAAGTAAGCAGATTAACCGATAAAATGTTCGAACAGAAAATTGCACTAAAAGCAAATTTATTAAATAAGCCAAAATAATAGCCAAAGTAATTTATTAAATTTATTGAATAAACCAAAATTGTGATAAAAAGGGTTCTTGGCTCTTTTTCTTTACATTATTTCAGTAAATATTCCGAATAAAATTTTACTCGAAGAATTCATTCGAAATGTTATACGAATAAAATTCTATTCGAAGGATTTATTCGGAATGTTATTCGAATAAAATTTTGTTCGAGTAATGCCCAACTGTGTCCAGAAGTTCGAGTCGTTTACGCAAGCGTTAAAACGAAGTGGAATAAAGTGGTCGACGGAGAGGAAAAATCGGGGCCGGTGTCGAGCATTGTGAACGATAATTTTGAAATCGGGATCGAGGCCAGTGGACGACGAAGACAGCGCCGCCCTCCTGAAGAAAAACGAAAGCGCGAGATGGAAGGAGGAGGAGAGCGCGAAAAGCGGCGGGAAATCACGAGAGGGAAAGAGAGAGAAAGAGAAAGAGAGAGAGAGAGAGAGAGGAGAGACGCCGATTTCCAGGAAGGTGTAAAAAAGAAGAAAAGCTCGCAGGCCGGGTAGAAATAGCGTTGGTTAATTTTGCACCGGTCCGTGTTATAAACGTACATCATACAGCCTCCGCGTCTGTTCATCGTCTGTCTCTCCTCCTCCTTTTTCTCGCGACTTTCTTTTTCTCTCTCTTCTGTTTGCCTCGCGCCACCCTTCCACCCAATTTCCCTTCGTACACAACGGAACAAAGCCTGTTGCTAGTTTATAATTCGTAGACTCTTTTCCTTCATTTTTTTCTTGGAAGATTCTTACGAGCTGCTTTTCTTAATTCCATTTAGGGAGAGGTTTGATAAACGAAGGGAGGAATTTCCCCATTGGCGGTGAGACGTAGTTACAGACGGGGATAAATCGGGAAATTTATACGTTACGATTGCTGGAAGAGAATTGGTTTGTAAATAGTTTTAGCGAGAAATTTTGTCGAAGTTGGATATTGTTACGAACAGATGAATTGGAGGTAAATTTCATTACGAAATTTGTACGTCACTGGTGGAGAATTCGTTGTTCCGTTTCGAGTAACGGAGGGATGGTTTTTCAGTTTAGTAGAATAGGATAACATTTTACTTTGATCTGCGTTTATTGTATTTCTTGAAGTGGAAATTAATTAGTGCTATTAATGGCAATTGAAAATTTCTAACTCAAAAATAATTTTCAAACTCTCTTCCATTTCTAGCTAGATAATTGTCAAATTTCGTCCATTTCTAGCTACCGGAGGAAAGTTATTAATGAATTATATTACATCACTATGAAACATAAAATTAACACGTTGACTGCCATGCGAGATTCACGTTTTATCTATAGGGTAGAACATTTAATCTCTATCTACGAGATATTACAGTGCAATAAAGTGCAACAGAAGTGTACTTTTCATCTTGCAATATTGTCTAATTATAATCCGATTATACGATTTATTCTAGAAAGTTTTAATTTTTCTAAGATACCTATACAAACAGAAACGACAAGTGAACGTGTTGAGGAATGAAAATTATTTGTATATCTTGCACGACGAAAATCAATTCACACCGCGTGCAAAGTCGATGAACTATTGACCGATCAGTTCGATAGAAACAAGAAAATTCTAATTACCTTTCTTTCCTCGATGTTCGATTCATCTCTCCGTTTCATTCGCTCAAACATTTCATCAGGAAGGGCAGGAAGCGCGCTGCCAAACGTTGCTCCGAAACGCAGCCGCAACATCAACAATCCCTCGAATAGCTGAAATCATCGGACAACAGTAGTATCGACGCAACTCCCGGAAGTGACGGATGTTTGACGATGGTGCGCGGACGCATTTAGAGAGGCGAGATTACGCTTGGTCGTCGGCTGTAACGAATTCGTCTCCTTTCGTTTATTTACAGCGGTTTCGACTTGATTGTTTTCCTTTCCGCCGACCGCGCATTTCCATCCACTGCACTCTTTCTCTTTACTTTCGGTCTCGCGTCTCGCCCTCTCGCCACGGCAACGAAGGGGACAGCCGAAGAAGAAACAAATGAGGCAGCAAATCAAAGGGGGTTTTCTCTCTCTCTCTCTCTCTCTCTCTCTCTTTCCTTCCTTCTTTTCACCCCTCTTCCTCTCGACAACGCCTCTTTTTCTCTTGGCTGCCTCTTTCAACCACGCTCTTTGAGCTGCTTTGTGAGGCACCACGTCGCCTTTTTTTTGTCACGCTTTCTCTCTTTGTTTCAGACGTACCCAGCGAGCAATCTGTTTCCGTCATGCTGAACGGCGAGGAGAGCGAGCTGAGATTCCTGAACATCGCGAACCCAACGGTGAGCAACGGCTCGTTCATTGTGCTTCTTTCGCCATTAGCTGGAGAGTATACAGATTGTTCATAAAGTCTCTTTACAATTTCAAAAATTTATTAGAAAGGCAAACGAGAAGACAGATAAGTGGAAATTATTACAAAATAAGACGTATATATTTAGGTTTTTTTCTACCTTATTTAATACACCTCTATATGGACACCATTATTAGTTGCACGAAGTACAAGACGTTATACTTGATTTCTTGATGTTTTTCTCAGATGTTGTTTGATCGTCCGCTCCTCCCTTTATCGAACACTGTCCCTGTCTCCGTGAATTTCTTGTGCCACGCACGAATTGATGGACGTGACGGTGGATCTCTTCCATACTTAGTTGCCTGAAGTTTCGCTGAGTCTGCAGATCCGTTTTGGTTTCAATAAACCATGATACACACTGTGCCTTCTCTTGAGGAGTAGCCATTTTGCAAGGGGTTCATGTAACAGTATCTTATTCATCAACAGGGTACCTGAAATGCAGTGTGATAAAAACCTTAATAACCATTGAGCACATAGAACAAATCTCATGAAGATATCTCATCAATTGCCTTTGTAATAAATTTTTGAAATTGTTTATGAACTCTTTTGAAAGAGACTTTATGGACACCCACATAGATTTAGGATAAAAATATCGAACAAAGATATGGGACATCACTAATCTAAAGCATAGGATCATCACCCATGCTACTGTCACCATTGATGAGAGTATGCTACAGCGAACATGGCAAGAAATCGAGTACCGTCTTCGTATGTGCTTCGTGCAACTAATGGTGCTCATATAGAAGTGTATAAAATGAGGCAGCAAAAAACTTAAATATATACGTCTCATTTTTGTAATAATTTCCACTTATCTGTCTTCTCATTTGCTTTTGTAATAAATTTTTGAAATTGTAAAGAGACTTTATGGACATGCTGTACTTTTTGAACGAGAGCGAGCGTAGTTTTCGAGCGGATGGCGTTGTATTCGATCACTATTCGCCTTTTGAGCCCGTATGTACGATGATTCACGGGGTTCACGGGATTTACGGAGGCCTAGAGTGACGTTTGATTTGTGCTTCTCTTGTTTAGCGAATGCTTGACCTTGATGAAGAGAGAAAAGTAGATTGTTGGCCGAATTTATCGATAGTACGTCAGTGGAGATCCTGATGCGATGTTGATTTGTATTAGAAAAGGGAGAAAGCACTCTTTGTGAATGCTCGAGAACGATGAAGAAGGAACAATGGAGTACGTTAGTAGAAGTTGTGCTAACAGAGGCTCTCGAATGAAGTTCGTGTCATAAAGGAATGAAAGACTCGTTATAAAGTGTTTGAATACGTAATTAACACTGGAACTATCAACTATTTCAACAAAATTTACTCGAATCCGAGAAACTTGAATTTTCATTCTGAATTTTCAATTTCCACTTTTATCCAAATTCCTGAGATTTCAATAAATATAATAAATTGAAATTTGAATTTTCATTCGGAATTTTCAATGTCCACTTTTATCCAAATTCCTGAGCTCGCGGTATTGTATAAAATTCTATAAAATATGAAAAATTACGAATTATTATTTATTTTCACCAGCCTGACAGTTCTAACGTTGATATTCTAGTCGTCGTTTGATTCCAGTTGCATTGATACGTTTGCTTTGAATCAGAGGTGGCTAACTGGCGGCCCTTTCCCCTACTTTTCTGATCTCTAGTGCTACCCACTTCACTGCATCGATCTGTTCAAGAGTGAGTGACTGTGAAAGAGTGAAGCTCGTACATAGCGAAGAAGGGAAAAAATTTTCAACGTGTAGAGAGATCGATGCAGTGGAGGGGATAGCGCTAGTAATTAGGAAAGTAGGGGCAAGACTAACCGCCAGTTAGCCACCTCTGCTTTAAATAATCCGGGTTAAAAACAGATCGTGTCGAGTTTCTTCTCTTAAGAAGCGTGTTTATACTTCTGTTTCAAACAGACGGAACTGGAGGTGATACACCCGGATGCCTTCGTCATCATGTACTCTGTGATCGACAAGGCGTCCTTTCAGAGAGCAGAAGAATATCTAGAACGTCTCCACGACCAGGATTTCCTTCGAGGAAGATCGGCTATACTTGTTGGGAATAAAGTGGACCTGGTTCGATCCAGGGTGGTTTCTTCTCAAGGTTGGTACATATATACTAAAGTTAATATCAAATACTAAAGTTAATACTAAAGTTAATACCCTCGTATTATGTTTGAAATTAGTTTCATCGATTGAAGCAATATTTTAATAAAGAATTTCTCGAAATATTTTATTTATCGAGATGTGCAAATCGTGTAAGAGGTTTGTAAGTAGTAGTGGTCTGTGTATGATCAGGCCATAAATCGTATAACCGAGGCAGTTATTGTTTGTTTGTTAATTATTGGTTGTTAATTCCGATGTTTTTGAACGAATGATACACGTATTAATATACTTTACTGTTTACTCAGAGTCAATCGAAAACAAATTACAACGCTTGAAAAGCTTTCATAAAAATTCCCATCGAACATCTCGCTCGACGCCAATACAAATTAATACTGTTTGTCCTTGCTTTTCTACTGCGTTTGTGCGCAATTACTGATGTAATCCTCATATCCAATATTCCAAAAACCCGTTCAGAGAGAGAGATAAAGTTTATCCTCAGTTTTATATAAACATTTCCATATTCACCATGTTGAACAAAATAGAACATCTAAAAATATTCGTATCATTGATGACATATTCCTCATGACGAAGTAGAATAAATAATATAATAAAATAATTTTACAATTACTGCCAACAATTTTTTCCCTCGCCAAAGGACACGTTTACAATTCCAAAAATTTATTCCGACAGAAGAAATGTATATCTCAAGCTTTTCTCATCACACATCTCGAACAAATCAAGCAAAAGATACTCTGCTCCTGATGAGCAAAAGGAAGAATTGCTGTATTTCTCTCTCTGCATTTCCAAATCCGTCAATATCAAATTATATATCAGCTTCGTTATGATAAATTTCTAAAATCCAAAAATCTAGAAACAACAAGAAACTATTTTGCTCTTGACGATCAAAAAAAAAAAAAAAAAGCTCCATCAACAAAAGCTACACTTCCCCCTCGCATGCTCGCATATTCGAGAATTCTGTGCATCCTTGTACTTTCAAATCCGCCACTAAAATTATACATCGACTTCGTTATGATGAATGCCTAGTCGAGAAATTAAAAAAAAAAAAAAAAAAAAAAAGGAGCGAAACCAATCCAAACACGAGCGCGCTGCGTCGCAACCTTTCCTCGCCGCGCGTCCCGAGCAACTCAACCGGAAGACACTCCGCTCCTGACAAACAAAAGGAAAGTTCCTCGGATCCCCCTTTTCTCCCTATTCTTACCCAGGATAAAAAATCTCGCGCCGGCTATTTTCCACCATCCTACACGCGTCCTTGGCTGGGTTTTAAATATAATAATGCCTTCCCTTTTTCTCTAATCCGGCGCGTGCTGCCCGCAGATGGCAAGTGCATGGCGTGCACCTATCGGGTGAAGTTCATCGAGGTCTCGGTCGGGATCAACCACAACGTGGATCACTTGCTGGTCGGCATTCTCAATCAGATTCGGCTGAAGAAGGCGGGCAACACGGAGAATCGAACTGGGAACGGTGCTAGCGAGGGCAGCGGCCACTGGTACAAGTCGAGGGGCGTGGTACGCGCCAGCATGAAGGCCAGACAGATGTTGACCTGGCTGTTCGGCAAAGAGGACAGCAAGTTTAAGAACTGCGAGAACCTCCACGTGTTGTAAATTAGGCGAGCGGGTGGACTTTCTACTCCCCCCCGCGGCCGTACCTGACGGTAGATTGTAAGGGCGGTGTTGTTCGGCGCGACCTCGTCCAACCCCTCGCGTGACATGATCGCTTGGCGTGACACGAACATGACTTGCTACTCGATCGAGCAACCGTGAGCTCACTGGCCAGAGGTGAAAATTTTGAAGACGCGGAGGTATGCCTGTCAATTCAAATGACTGTCTTTTTTGTGACGAAAGGAGTAACGAAACTATATTTGAAATTTTTTTTTGCAACAAGATACAGAGTATTATGATTTGTGGTATACATCTTTTGGTGATGTACATCTTGACGCAGAATAATCATTAAATGAATAATTTGTTTTAAAATTCGTGAAACTAATTTATTCGTGAATTTAGCGACTTGAAGCCCCTTGCGCTGGCAACTGGTTGCCACCGCGGACCATAACGAGTGACCGAACCGTGTACAACAGTTCGTCGATATGATGTCGTACAGACACAGATAGAAATTATTAAGAAGTAATAAATTTATCATTTGAGTTACGTTTAAATATACTTAAAACGGAGAAAATGTTGCAACTTGAGAGAAAAAGTTCGTTTCAACGCAAGAGGTTAATAAGATGGTATAAAATGCTAGAGTATCTGAATCTTTTGGTAGTGTTCAATTTGATAAATTATTAAACGAAGAGTAATGTCTCTGAGTGGTTTGTTTTATTCAATGATTCATGAAAATACTCGTTTTATATTTGAAATTGGCAACTTTGATAGAATAATATAATGTGTCAGAGTTTCTGAATGGTTTGATAGTATTCAATTTGATACGAAATAATCATTAAACGAAGAGTAAGTGATTTACTTTTAAATTCACGAAATTATTTCACTTTTTTATTTGAAGTTGGCAACTCTGATCGAACGATTTAAAACGCCATAACTTGTGTATTTCTTTTTGTAGTATTCAGTTTGGTACGAAAGAATTGTTAAATAAAAAGCAGTGTCTATAATTATATCTGTTTATTTTACAAATATATACGATGATACAAGTAAATTATTACAATCTGTGAACTTTTCTTTACAGCAATCTGGCCACATATCTTAATTAATTTATATGAAATAACATCTTGGATGAGCACTTTCTCATTGCCAATCCTTAGCCATGTTTTCTCTATAAAATAAAATTGTCTTTGCAACTTCTCTTTGTAATTGGCCATTATCCCCACAAGTTTGAAGATTCTATGTGAGAATCTATAGAATATCGAACGTCTACTGTTTATTTGCTTGCTCGTGCACGTCAGAGATTTCACTCTTGCTCGGTTAAGCAGTGGATGATGCTAGAAACCACAGAATCTCAAGTGCAACTGGAATTTCGAGTAAGATTGTATTTCATTCGGTGTTGATTTCGCTTGGGATGGCCAATTGGGTGTCACAGCACTTGAAGCGATTTCGTTTCTCTCGCTTCTGATTTTGGAAATTCATTTAGGAGTCTCTTCTTCCCTTTGAAATTCACTTACATATCTGCCTTTCTTACATTTTTTTTTCAATCTCTTTTCTCAAGGGGAAACAGTCGAATGAAATTGAATTATATTTCACATAATTCGACGAATCTTTAATTCAATATTTCAGTTCTTGTACGCAGACGAGATTCTGGGAAAATTGGGGGGGCGTGGAGGGGCTGGCGAACAAAGTGCCAATTAATTAAAACGAACGCGACCACTGTTTCTTTTTTTTTTTTTTCAACTGTTACTTTTTAATTAATGTTAGCTCTTAAGAACTTCCATCGAGGATCCGCTCGATACCTACCGATATTAATCATAATGCCGATAATCATAAGTTCGTTAAGTCGCTATTATCGTCTATGTTGGTTGGTTGGCGTGCGCATGGAAAATAAATCGTGGTGGTGGTACCGAAGTGAAAATCTACTGCACACGCGCGGTTTGATTGTTCAGTTGCTTCCGGTCTTTCTACGAAAACACACGTTCGAATTTTTCAATTTAAAGACGTTTGAATTACCGAAGAAGAGTCGGAGAATGATTCGATCGTAATTTCTCGCGATGTTTCGGACGGGTTTTGTAATTTATTGACAACAAGTTTCGTGCAATTTTAACGATTTTTCGATCGCTTGGATCGTTTACGCATTTGTGGGAAACTTAAAACTATAAAAAAAAAAAAAAACGTATAGAATATTTCAGAATATTAAGCTGAAATGTTCAGTTTTAAGTTCTGCTTCTTCAGTTGCATTTGCAACAGTAAGAAATTGCATAGATATTCGCGGTCTGTCGATAAAATTCGATCTCGATACGATACAAAATACAAAACATTTGGAATTTCGAATGAACAGTATGAGTGAACTTCCATTTCTCATTTCACTTTCAAGCTTCCGACATGAAAATCTATACGTCGCGAAAATTTATTGCCACCGACGATTTAAGTTATTGAAACGACTATTGGCAGTGATCAGACTGCCAAAGATCGAAGCGAGCAAAGAACAAAAGAAAAAAGAAAAAAAAAAAAAAGAAAAAGCAGAAACTCGAACATCTTCGGAGATTTAGTCGAAAGGACGAACGTTCGTGAAGCTCGAGGATCGCTCGAGGTAAGAGCAAAGACAAAGAAGGGAGCTACAGAGCAAAGAGACAAAGCAGTTTAAATCGATTCTAGAACGGGTACGAAGGAATTTCGAAGAAAAGAAAAAGAAAAAAAAAAATCGGACCATGGCATGAAATTAGCAGCCAATAATGTTACGTCGTTGACTGTACAATAAGACCAATTTAATCTTTTTAATCCGAGCTGTACATACGATAAGTTTAATCATAAACAGATTAGTGTGTCTACCTGAGAGAGAGAAAGAGAGAGAGAGAGAGAGAATGAGGGAACAAAATGAAGGAACAAACGTGGAAGAATATATTGAAGAACGACGAAGAGCAGCGAGATTACTATGAACGTATTACTATGAATATACATACATACCTACATGCATATATATATATATATATATATGTGTGTGTGTGTATATGCATATATATATATATATTCTTAATGTACGATAAGGATAAGTCTACGTTAGTTTACATTGTAGATGATTATTACATTAAATGATTGACGTGTTGCTGTATTGCGTGTTTTCCCTCAAAGAATGAGTACTATGAAGAATATTCCCTTTTCGGGTAGGGGGTGGGCAGAGGGAGGCATTTTCAGAGCAAATACGAAAAGATGAAGAGAAACATTTGTACACGTATACATACACACACTAACATACATGCGCACACATACGTACACTATTGTCCATCTATTTTCTGCGATCTCTATGCCTATGTATATCCGAATTATGTATAAATATATATATATATGTATAAATATATATATATGTATAAATATATATATATATATATGTATAAATATATATATAAACTCCTATATACACGTTGTTGGAGCAAGATGGTTTGTGGATGTTCAGTTGATTATATAATTAGTTTTATAGAATCACAGAATAAGGAATTGTTACCTCTTTTTGATAATATAATATCACTTTCGTTTAAGTTTGATTAAATATTCGAGTAATTAGATGATTTTACTGAGTTACTCGATTAATCAGATGATTTCTCTGAGTTACAGTAAGAAGTTACTGTTTCGTTTTCAATAATACACGTTGCTTTTGCGATCTTTCATTTCATGTATGTTGTTACTTTTATAAAATGTTAATGTAATAAACTGATCGAATGTTTTTGCACAGCTCTCTACGATTTTTCATTATTTTATCCTCCGTTGCGACTTTTCTCCAAGATTGAAAGAAAAGAATGTTAATTCGATGATTTTCTTAATTTTTATTAGCGAATCATCTTCGGCTCCATAGAACGTTTCCGTAGAGAGAGAGAGAGAGAAAGTTATAAATCTTGAACCATCTTACTCAAAACATCGTATACATGAAACGAAGCAGTGTTGTAACAAGTATAGTTCGAGCGGTATATCCGTCTCAGGGGCCAAGCAACAGGGCTGTAGAATAAAGAAAAAAAAAAAAAAAAAAAAAAACAGAAGAACCACTATAATTAATACGTTAGCTAAATGAAATGCCGAGTGAGAACTTGAAAAAGAAAACAATATACAGAAGGATATATAAAATTGAAGAAAGATGCATAAAAAAAACAAAAACAAAAAAGAAACAAAAAAAAGCAAATAATTCACTGAAGTGTTAAATCAGTATTATGTTTCCCAAAGTAACTGTAAATTAGTGTTTGCAAAATGGGATGTCGAATGGAAAAATAATTTCACTGCTAATGTATATATTGCTATCAATATGTATATTGAGATTCTGTCAGAAAGATTGGGATTTCGATGATAAAATTTCGGCTTTGACAATGTAGAAGTTTTTCACCAAGTCGATGGAAATTCTGACGTTTCGGCAAAAATCTTAGAAATTACAATGAGTGTAAAAAAAGTATTCGTGCATTCGATGAAAAATCGATAAAATCTAAATACTTTGAATTCTCGTAACTTTGTGAGAGAAAGAAAGAAAAATCGTAGAACAGTTTCTTCAGGGTTCATTTTGAAGTGTGAATCCTCTGCTCCCCCAACACTGATTTTTTTCTTTTAAAGATAAAGATATTTTTACACTGTTTTGAAAAGGAATGAGTAAAGATAGCTGTTTACTCGAAAATTTTGCAAATTCCAAACGTCTCTGTGGACATCGAAAAAATTTCTTCCGCAATATAGTTAAAGATCGAAGTCTTCCATTTAAAATTCGTTGTACGATGTTTTTCTTTTTTTTACAAAGTTTAAAACATTTTTCATCGAACGTACGAGTTACCATCTCTGCATCTGGCGTGAATATAAAACGCGTGAACAAATTTTTATTTCAATACGAAAAATTCAAGAATTTCTTTTTGCAAGTTCGAACGAATTCAATTTAAACGAATTGCTGAATGCAACATCGTTCTGACCAATTTGGAGCAGTTCGAAAGCGTCCGTGTAACCGGGAAGAAATTATTTTGTTAGCTCGAACTACCGAATCGAAGACAATACTAAATCGTGAACGCTATCGAATCGTAAAACAGTGTAGATAGCGATAGAAACTCTTGCGGCTCGCAAAATCCAATGATCAAAATAAGTGAAATCAAAATGTTAAGCACCACCACGAGTTGAACGAGTTGTTGGAAAAAGAAAGACAATACAATAATCACGATAAAACGTGCGTTAAAGATTGAACTATAATTCCTCGTTAAAAACAGAAGACGATCTCGTAACGACGCGATTCTTGACTCACAGATCGCGAGACTATCTTCTTACAGCACTGTTCATGATCGAGCAAAAAGCGACGATGAATAACAGAGAAAGAAATTACAAGAAACCGCGAAGTTTAGAAAGAAACGAACATCTGTAAGCGAGAATTGTTTCCTTAGTCGTACGATATGAATTATGTTTCGGCGAAACGAAAATAGCGAATTAACGACGCGTTGTCATCGACTATTCGATTCGTTCTATAGCTCGATTTTACCAATCTACGAAAACGAGTTAATAAGTTATATACATACATTTATATAAATATATAAATATATATTTATCCGTTTGCCATCGTTTTGCGTCGTCGTTGCTGATGTTGTTAAATACAATCAAAAAAGAGAGAGAGAAAAAAAAGGAAAAGATCGAAAGAATGGAAAATGGTGGAGTTCAGTGGAGAATTTCCTGTGAATTTCCTCCGCGAAACGAAAGAGGGAGAGATTTAAAAAAAAGAGGGGGGGGGATTCTTATCAAGTGCCTTTGTGTATTTTTGTAATTTAAGCTAAACTCGATGTAAGTCTTAATCCAACAAAATACAACTGTGTAACCATGAAATGTATATCGATGCTGCAAACGCATGCTCTTCTTGGTTTTCGATGATGTCGATAATTAACCGACGTTTTTTCTTTTATCTATTCCTCCGTCTTCTTTTTCTTTAACGTTCCTTTCAGAGATTAACGTTCAATTCTCGTCTGACGTTTCCTCTCGACGCCAGACGCCTCTTCCGAGACGCTTCGAATCGCTTCAAAATTGTGCACTGTGTGTATTTAACGACCAATTCGAATCATGCACCGAGCATGACTCGACGTCGTTCGAAACTCTCGAAAGTCTTGGAAAAATCTTGACTATTGAAAGTAACCACGGGCAGGATTAGGTTGACGCAAAATTGTAAAGATGTAAGTATTTAAACAACAATCCAGAAGATTCAAGTTATCGATCATTCGTCGCTAGATTGAGAATTTCGGGAACAAAAATTACACGCTCCGTAAATGTAGAAATATATCAAGTATCGTGCTTCTTGTAACATTTAACTCAGATCAAATAAAACAATTTCTACTTAATCTTCAGTATTCTAAACCCTGTCTTCGTAGAAACATGAAATTGCACAAACATTCGCAGTCTGTTATCGAATCACTGTGGCACAAATTCTTAAGACTTCGAAAATATCCAAGACCACGATTTTCGTGAATTGTGTACGAATGTATTTTTTTCAAGAATCGCAGTTCGAAGTAATACGAATTGATCGCTGTACGAATTCGACGCGAGTCTCAAATCCTGTCGTTCATTTATTCCTGTGAATCTGGCGACAACATCTCAGATATTCACGATCGAGCACGATAACCGAAAGTAATAAATCGAACAACAATCGTACAAGAGGAGGAAGCGAAACAAGACCGAAGGAAGATCGAATTTTCTTGGTCGACGGGGATGAGGTTTCGAATCTGGAGGTACGTACGAATCGTTCCGATGACATCCACTTCCGGTTTTCGTCGATGCGACACGCCCGCTCGATGTCTATCGATTAACTTGCGTTGCGTCGTCAAGGTGAACTTATCGATGTTACTTAAAGTAAGTGAAAAGGAAAAGGAACAGGAAAGATAAATAAATAAATAAAAAAATAAAAAAAAAGAAATCATCGTTGTTTGTTCGTTGTGTGAGTGGTGCGTGACGTGACAATACTGCCATCTATTCGGCTGATAGAGACACGATTATGGCAACGGAGATGAGAAGCCCATGCAAATTCTTGGACTTCGTCCACACGTCGTTTCCTGTGGTATATTTTAATCTAAGATTATCTGTCATCCAGAGGGAAACGAATGGCTCTGATAATCCGCGGGATTATTGTACTTTGATGATAATAAAGAAGCGACAGTTCAAATCCTCCACGTGCCTATTCGACTCTTTTATATTTCGATTGTACCTTCTTAATGGATTGTCGATTTAGTTGTACATATTGGCGTTGTACTGAGGAAATTAATGTCCTTCTTCGTGTGATGAAGTGTTTTGATGAATTTTTGTGTCATTCTATCATATCGATTTAGGCAGGTTCTGTATCGCAGCTATTACCAAATTTTAACTAATTATTTTATAACAACTGACTTGGGCAATGTGTTTAAAACAAATGACAAGTGAATTATCGAATGAAACAATTAATTTAGTCGTTTGATCGTAAATAAGAAGAAGGTTGTGAAAATTATATTAAATAATGTTTAGGAATGTTATAGAAATAAAATGATTCAATTGTTTTAAGTGAATTATTCAAATTATAAAACAATGCATTTCTACGATATTCTATGATATTTTTATATATTAGTTGATAATTTTAACTATTCATTTGTTGATTATAATTTTGTTCCAGGAGCATGATAAATTATCAAGTATATGGAAAAATTCGTTATTAAATAATTTCCAAGTAATTTCCTACAAAGTCAATGACTGCAATATCTACGAACCTAATATTTCATGAATACGTATGTTAAAAAAGAAAGAGAAACGACTGAGACGAGCTCGAGGTAATAATTTCTTCAAGTCAAGACAGGATAATGTCGCGACTGCCGGAAACCACCGCAACATCTCACTCTTCTCCAAATCCTCTTAATCCCTACTTCGACAAAGTAAGCACTACTCTTAACACTTATTATAAAAGTGGTGAAAACGGCAAATTTGTAATTTTTGTTAGATATTTTATAGACGCGAGTCAGCGTATTTTTCGAAATTTAAATAATTTCTCGTAAATTGTTCAAATGAAATCTCCTCTACTCCATCATCGCGTTATAAAGTTTTTCTACTCTTCTTACTCGAATGTCTCTGATGGAAATTTTACGCTTTAATCGTCGTCTTCTCAGTTCTACTGTTGAATATGGAGAGAGAGAGAAAAAAAAAAAAGGAATCAAATCGCACACAGTTTTCAACGTTTTCAGTTCACAACTCTGTTAATTTGTAAGTTCTTGAATGAACTACAAACTTCGATGAAAGGTACCTTTGGGAATTCCCAGCACTAGAACTTCCGATGACTGATAGCATAAAATTCCCATCAGAGACATTTAAAAAGTGAAAAAGTAGAACGATAACATGCACAAACATTTATTTATACATTTCACAAAAAATGTATCATATTTATTTATATATTTTACAAAAAAATTACTTGAATCTCTGAAAATGCATTGTTTCGTTTTGCAAAATTTCTAACAAAATTATAAATTATAAATTGATAGTTTTTATCATTTTATCTCGACCGTTTCTCGTTCGTCACCTCGACGAAACACGAATTGGGCCGGATTTGGGAATCCAGGCGACATTTGACAAAAAGATCAAACTCCACATTTTGATATTTTCTTAACATATATTAATTCCCGAATGTTCTCGAGAATGAAAAGATTAATAAAAAAACAATAATTTTAGTTGAAACAGACACACGAAGTTATTACACATTTTAAAAATCTCGATCCTCGTCAAATAATTTAGTTCTTCTCCTTTGAAATGTCCCGAAAATCGTGTCTAATTTTTTTTATCCTGAATTTTTTTCTACGATACAACACATTTCTCGTTGCAAATTATAGTGCATGATATATTTTCAAAAAATACCGACATTACATTTTTTATCCTTGACAAGTGATATCTTTCAAGGATCCCACAATTTAGACAGCAAGAATCTTTTCAGTGAATCTTTTTCTGTATCGACACGAATCCCAGACGAAGACCTGCGCCTTCTTTTCAATGTTAATATCGTCGTAAATCTCATCGCGGGACGCTCAGTTGATAAATAACGTGAACCAAACGCATGCGCCCGTGAGCATCGATTATTTTGATTGGTGCCAGATATTGCCAGGCTCCAGCCGTGGCAGTTTGCCACGAGCCAAAACGAATGTCGAATTCTTGTAACCTCGAACGCCCGGATAAACGATAACAAACGATATTCTGTCGAACATGCGAGAGAAATATGTTTTGCACGTCCGTGGGAAACCGAAATCGAATCGTCCGCGAAACGTAATCGAACGATAGCGAGCACGAGGGAAAATTTGAAACCCCGTGGACGAATTGGTGGAAAATTTTTCATATTTCTCGTCGAGTTTGACATGCGTGAAACGACGCGGAGATATTTCAAAATTTTCGTTCGTTCGGGAATCTTCAGGATTGAATAGAGAATAGGCAGAGAGTATTCCAGTGAACGATTTGGAATTCAATGGAATTATCGAGTGTTTGTGTTCTAAGGTAGGTTCGAATTTTATGGATACGCGAGGTTGAAAGGAGAGGGAGCTTACTTTTTTAACGTGACTTCGAAGCTGTTTGTTAAAATTTTCTCAAACAGCTGCGAGGAATAATATTGTGGTATTTTTCTTTTATTATTTATATCATCCATTTGTTTCAGCGTCGATTATTATAGTGATATTTTTTTCGTACACTTTTAGCATTTATCGAAATTATTTTGTAAAATTGAAGTTGACTTTTACGTAATTCAAAAATGGAAACAGTCGATGATTACGAAAACGTAAGAACTACAAAGATGAAAGCACTAAATACGTGAATGATTAAATATAAAGGAAAATATATATAATATATATATAAATTCAATATTTTTCGACAGTCACTGATCACTGAAAATTACATGACGTTACAGTAAAAGTCATGCATATCATTACAATGGGATTGTTTTGGTTTATGAAAATTTTCAAGCAAATAACTTCGTTTACTGTTAAACTTTTACGATGAACTTTCTTTTTGGCAATCACTAACCGCTGAAAGTCACTTGACTCTACGATAGTCATCGATTGATATTGTTTAATAGTTGCTCTTGAGAAAATTTCTTTTCATTTTTCTCTAAATATCAGAATATATAAAACTGAAGTATATCAAATATATCAAAACTCAGAAGTATATCAAACCTTGTTATTTATTTGATTATTTTCATTTAATTATATTTTTATTTCATCGGTTATAATTTTATTACTATTGTAATTATTGTTTTTTGTTGTTGTTTATTTGATTATTTATATTTTTATTTAATTATATTTTCATTTTATTGGTTACAATTTTATTACTATTCTAATTATTGGTTATTTTGTTGTTCATTTGATTACTCATGTCTTTATTTAATCGTATTTTTATTTTATCGATTATAATTTTATTACTTTTATTGTAATTATCGTTTTCTTTGTTGTTTATTTGATTATTCATGTTCTTATTTAATTATATTATTATTTTATTGGATATAATTTTATGACTATTTCGCTACTGTACGGTCAAACTGATAAATTTCTTGAGGCATCTTAAATTTTTAAACGGGAGTTCCGAGAAGATGTTTCTGGGATTATTAAATGTAAATACTTTCTTAAATACGCGTCAATTAGAGAAGAAGATATAAGAAGAGATGCTAATAGCAGGTCGTAAAGCTCGAGCAGTAGCGCTACTTGAATTTTCATTGAAAAAAGTGAAGGAAGCAGTTTATGAAACGGTTATCATCCCTCGGTGAAAGGGGAATCTTAAATGCAGAACTCGAGCACGCGACTTGGAGAAAAAATTTCCTACCAGAATACATACTTTCTCGGAGAGAATAATTTTGAAACGTTTATCTTTGTCAAAATAGACAGGCTTGTTTTTCTTAATAATAACTAGAGATCCCTAATAACTCAGAATATTGATAACAACAATAACGTTGAGATAAAAAATATCGAAGAATATTTCATCAAACGATTATGAACCCATTAAAAAGTAAATACTACGCTCTTAATCTGCCAATTAAAAAAATATAACACCACGCTCTTAACTTTTAACTCGATGGCACTGCGTTGTTCATTAAATTTAATCAAACATTTTTAAATATCGTTGCTTTATTACATTACTAAATTTGCCATTAAAGTACAGTAATTAATAAAAGGCAAGCCTGTGGAATATTACAGTGCTGCGTGTCGTTAATATTTCAGCAGAATAAATAGTCGAAATTAATTAAAGATAAAACAGAATCAAAGGACGAATCAAATATGTTTGCCCTTTTTCTCTTTATCTTTTTAGTTAAACCAAAAAAACGTTGTTGCACTCGGCGCGGGCCGTCACGATTGTTTTGTGCTTGTCTTTTTTTATTTACTCGCGTTGTGTTTGCTGAAATAGGTCTCTGTTTTGATTCGTGCTCGTTTATTTTCGACAGAGTTTCCTTCGAAACACAAAGTATCGGGTTTTTTTTTTTTTTTAACTAAAAAAATTTGTCAAACTCGGTGGCGAGCGACGACAAGCAATGACCACCACGAAACCGACCACCTGCAAAGAAGCGATTCGATTATGGGAAGAGGCGAGCGGACAGGAGGCTTCCACCGCGAAAGAGGCAATCCTAAGTTTTCAATGGCCCCCAATAGAGAAGATGGACAACGCTCTGTCGGTTTTGGTCAACTGCGAGAAGCTCTCGTTGTCGACGAACATGATTGAAAAGATCGCAGGTAGATATATAATTGTCAATAATTATCCTTTTGTTCTCTACTGTCGGGCAATTGTTAATTATTTCTGTTATTTCCTGTTACCAATTTCATTACTAATTGTTATTTATATTTAGGTTCAATTATAATATTCTTGGATTGATTTACTTGTAATGAACATTCTTTTTATAGTATCATTTTCAAAATTGAGGAACGTGATTAAAGAATTTTACTAAATATGTATATGTATTTTATATCAATTACGTCAGTTATCGAGTATTTTTATTTTTTTTATTATCATCATTATCCTTTAATCATGTATTTACTTAAAACAAACTCTTCTTTCTCACAATTTTACTTTTTGAATTAGGAAACGTCATCGAAGAATCGCATTTTATATTAAGTACGTTAATCACTGACTATTTATTATTCTTTATTTAATATAATTATTTGTATTTCTTTGTATTATTTATTATTATGTTTATTATTGTTTATTATTATATTTATTATTATTATAATTATTTACATAATTTCTCATTCCTCATAATAGACATCCTTTCTTTTCAAGGTTAAGAGACGTAATTAAAAAACATCTCGCCGAAAGTTGTAACATCGTATTTTATACTACTCGTTGAAGCTTTGAAAATTGGACACTTTATTACCTTTTATATTTGGGATACTTTCCAGTAGAAAATTTATTCCCTTTAATGTTTTTTAATCGTGCATCGATCGTTCCAACGATTAGAAAATATATATAAAGTAATAAAACACGATTATTTCAAAGTGAAATGATAAATATTCTTCTTTTATCAAGTCACGATACGTCGCTGAAAATGACTTGACGCGTCAGAGATATCGGTATCGGCGGTTCAAAACAATTTAAAATCCGCAGGTTCGCGCGGATCTCTCGTCACGATGGACGCGCAAGAATAATGAACGAAATCGCTCGACTGGGCAGATAATTTCGCTTAAATGGAATTACGTCACGGGTCAAGAGAAATGGATCGTAGCTGCTGCTCGATCTCTCCTTAATTGACGTTTAATTGCATCACGTTTAATACGATACGATCTGACTCGATTACAACCGGATCCTCCTAGATAACATCTAATACCCTGCAAAGTATCCTCTTGTCGGTATATCGTCCTCTTAGTGTCTTCCTGTCTTTCTTTTTTAATCAATATTTCACATCAAGTCATATTTTTTCACGGATATTTTTCATCCTTGTAATTTTGCGAGGTATCTTCTACTTTAATATAAAAGTCATTTTGCACAATTTTGTATTTGCGTATATTATTATTTTACTGATGGAATATTAAAAAAATAGAATGTAGAAGAAGGACGCAAGGATATTAAAACCTTTGTTTACTAGTTGATATTTTATTGAATCACTAGAAGATTGATTATTAGAAAAATTATTGTGCGAGATTTTGTTGTTTGATAAAAATAATTTTGTACAATTTTGTATTGAGGAGACTATATAAGAATAAGAACGTCTATCTATTAATTAATTTTACTAATTATTAGAAGATTCATTACTAGAAAAATATCTGCGCTTATACACACTAATTGATTATTTTAGTTGCCAGGGGAATATTTATGCTTGTTTGCTGAATATTTCACAACAGTGAAAACATTATTAAAACCTTCTTCCATTTTTTCTCAAAATAAGAATGTCACCGTTTAATTTCTCAACTAATACTCTATAAAATAAACATAGTGAATTGTGCATGGTTGAATTAAATATTAACAAGTGTTTCTTAGTTACTTAATTTCCGAAGGAAACAAAACTTCATAGATCGTAAGTGGAATTAAAGAAATAACGCGAGCGTTTCACTGAATGGTCATAGGAGTTGGAGCCTTGAAGAATCTGAAGATCCTTTCGTTAGGACGCAACCTGATCAAAGGATTCGCCGGCTTAGAGGCGTTAGGCGACACGCTGGAGGAACTTTGGATTTCGTATAACCTGATCGAGAAAATGAAGGGAATCAACGCGATGAGGAATCTCCGTGTCCTGTACATGTCGAACAATTTGGTCAGGGAGTGGTCTGAATTTAACAAGCTTCAGGAACTCGGCAATCTTCAGGATCTGCTCTTCGTTGGAAATCCGTTGCACGAGAGCTTGGAGGTGGGTCCATTTGTCCCGCTCTCTGAAGAATTTGTTTCTGAAAAGTTGGATTCTCCGCAATTCTTTTCACGAATTCTTTTACTGAATTACTAAAAGGATTTAAAATTTTATATATTCATGGTTACTATATGGTTTTTAAATTTTGACGACGAGTGTTACCAAGTTGTAAATAGATCGTGGACTAATTTCTTTACAGAAATCACTAGGAATTTGTAAAATTTTCCTCTTTTGTTGGCGAAAGAGAAATTGATGTCAAGAGTAACTTGCGACGTATGAAATTTCAGTGCAAGAGGATCCGGATAATTATTTAAACTGTGATTCCCCAGACGTGTGCCACGTCCATTTGCACGCACGACATATTCCGACATTTCGTACTAGTGCGTCATTTAAATTTTAACGAAGCTGCGGCTACGACACGACTATTGATAAATGTAAAATATCTCTCGTGCTTCTACGCCTCGAAATGTCGTTCAAAAATTTACCAATTGCAAAATGATTTTAATTTTGTATTTACGGAAAGAATAAGATAATTTAAGTGAAAAGCCGTGTGGCGATGATAATATTTAACGCTGCAAACTTTTTAGGTGGAAAACTGGAGAGTGGAAGTCGCCAGGCGTTTGCCAACTTTGGAGAAATTAGACGGCGAGCCGATCATACGAACGGAAGAATGCGTGAACGTGTCGCAGAAACTCGACAGTCCTGTGCAAGCACAGAAATCTGTGGAGTAATTTAACAATCACGTTTTAACAATTTAACAATCACGTCTTTTTTTCACGATCTTTTTCCAATTGTACGTACTTTTAATTTTATAGATTGTCGTTGGTAATTTGCTCAAGTGCTTTATTCGTATATATAATTTTCAAAAAAACAAACTTTCATAGACATTTTACATACATACGTGCATACGTGATTTTTGTAGGGAAAGGAAATTTTGTAGAATTTTTACACGTTTACAAGCAAATATTATGTATATCATTTTTTAATAAACAAAATATATAAAATATATAAAATATAAAAATAAATAAAATAAATAAATATATAAAATATATAAAATAAATATATAAAATGTATAAAAAAGGCTGTAAATTGTAGAAAATTAAAATAAAAAGATATTATGTGCACACGAGAAAGCAGAAATGAAAATTTCTGATATTTTGATATTTGTTAAATTAAATCAAGTATCGTGAAGGGCGTAGACAACACACGCACATTTTCGTACATTTATATTAATTTATTCGTCTTACGATACAAGACAAAACGTACATACGTTTCTGGTGATTGTAAAAGGTTGAAAAAGCAAATAGAGTTCGATTGGATTCGATGCACGAGATTATACCGAGGATCGGACAGACGACACGTTCTTTTTTTTTTTTTTTCGAGAGAGATCATCTCTTTCTCTTCTCTTTCTTCTCTTCTCTTCGTAATATATTTCTTTCTTCCGTTTTATTTTCCTTGAAATAATTCCCCCCGAAGGGTTCGTGTCTTTCGCGCATATCGTTTCCTGCAACTTTTGTTTTCTCGAAGGCGTGCTGTGTGAGACGCGACAAAGGTCTCACGCGTTGTCGATCTTCTCCTCCAGTTTTTTTTTCTCACTTTTTTTCAGTTTTTTTTTCTTGGACATCTTTTTTTCTTGTTTCCTTTAATTTTCACTTTTTTTTTTTTTAGTTTAGTTTTTATTATTCTCGCGTGTGTACGTGTGTTATGTAGACGCAAACGAGACGCGCGTGAATAAATCGTGCAATAGAAAAATTGACGAGTGTGCGTTATTATTATTATTATTATTATTATTATTTTATTTTATTTTATTTTACTTTATTTTAGTTTATTTTATTTTATTTTACTTTTTGTCGTTCGTATTTCCCCTCCGAAAGTTCTCTACTCCGATTGTGTTTCTATCTACTGTTATTATTTTGGTCGCCGATTTCGATCAATTGCCCATTCAATTTTCCCCTATAATTTCCCCCACCGTATGTCGATCGCTTCCTCACCGACAATTCTACTATCATTTCCAAAAACCACGCCGACCGCGATCGCTCGACTGCTGGCTACCACGCCTTATTACACGTTCGTCTGTTACTCGTCCAATTTCGTCGGATCGATCGATTCGATTTAGAGACACGACACGCATCGTCGTGTCGAGGAGATCGGAAAAAAGAGCTGTATAGAAAGATTTCAGATTGTACGAGCAAAATCAAACACTGATGCCCCGTGTGCGGGAACACAGATGCGCAAAGGGGTTAAACACTTTCGCTTTCTTAATTACTCGAGTAAATGCGTGTAACGTGTGTATGTGTGTGCGCGTGTGTGTGTGTGTGTGTATGTGCGCGCACGAGTTATAGCGTGTTCATCTCTGTGTGTGCGTGTATGTTCTTTTTTTTTTTCAGTTTTGTTCCGCGTACATCTTTACGTACACATGCAACACTGGCGCAAGATCATCAAGTTCGTCTACAAATTTTCGTTTTGCTTTCTCTTTTTTCTTCTTCACTTTTTCTTTTTTTCTTTTTTTTTACGTTTTTTCTTCTTCGTAAATTTCACTCGCAATCCCTTTCATTTTCTCTTGGTTTCTTCGTTCTTCTTTTCTGTTTTTTTTCTTTTTCTTTTTTTTTTTTTTTTTTTTTTTTTCTTTTTTTNTTTTTTTTTTTTTTTTTTTTGGTATTGTATTTCGTTATTATATCTGCGTTCGACTTCGCGTTTCGCGAAACGTCTCGATCGAAATTCGTCGCGCGAGATGGGAAGAAGAATACCGCTGGAAATGTCATGTGGATCGAGAAGTGAGAAACGACGGCGGTGGAAAGATAGAAAGAGACACGTTAGCCAATGATGAGTAAGAAAAATATCGTATATCGACTCTCTGTGGGATTGATTCTGTAATCGTCGAAGCAATGCGAATCGGCGATGAACGTTCTCGTTATCTTTATATCTTTATATCTTTAATGTATACATACGTGTATATATATATATATATATTTATTTATTTATGTATTTTATTATTTCGTTCTTTCTCCGTTTCATTGTCGATATATTATTTATATACTTAAGGGAAAAAGGACTTCACTTTCTTTCAATTACGATCGATGGACGTATCGAGATTTCCAAATAAATTCTCGTTCTTCTTGTGTTTTCATTTTTTCTCTCTGTGCTTCTCTCTCTCTCTCTCTCTCTTTCTCTATTTCGTTTTATTTATTTCGAAAAGACGAGCACTGAACGTTTTTTAAACGTTGCACGGCCGTTTAGCATTGCTTCGAGTTTCGACGGTCTCGACGATAGCATTTTGTTTCTTTTTTTTTCTTTTTTTTCCTGTTTTTTTTCTTTAAACATTTATCTTTAGATACATCACGCTGACAGATTTAAACGATAATTTTTTTTTTTATATTTTTGTCTTTTTTTAAATGTTTTTCTTCCTTTTGCGACGCAACATTTGTTTTTTTCTCTTGTCCACACAAAAATAGTTTTGACGATATATATAATATACATATATATTCTCTTTTTTTTTCAATATTCTCTCTCTTTCTTAACCCTCGATGCTTCCTCTTTTGTAACAATATTTCTCTCTCTTATTTCTCGTTTCGTTTAATTAATTTCCTTAGTTACCAACACACTGACTATATTCAACACGATTTACACTGAGAAAAGATCTGACGAATTTCAGGGCTAAGAGCCCCGGGGAAAAGAGTCGACGAGCATTCCGCGGGGATGGACTTTTGATTTGTTCGTTTCGTTTTAGTTTTCTCTTCGTTTCTCTCCCCCTCACGCCCTCATCGGCCGCTGAAATTCAACGCGACGTCGACGACGAAAATTCCCTCGTTATCCGCGATGCTCATCCCTCGCTTCGTTCGTTCGTTCATTAGACGAATCTGTCGTTTTACGTCGAGGCGAATCGTTGCTTCTGCTTCTTCACGAAATCGAGGGCCATCTTGTCGCCGACTCTCGTCTCCAGAATCTGCAGAATCGGATGATCTGGAAGGAGAAGTGTGCTCGTTTTAATCGAGATTTCGTGGCTCGGAAAGTGCAAGGAACGAAGAAAGAATTTTACAATAAGAATTTCGATTCTGCAAACAATTTTGTCTTGGTTAGTAAATTGAATCAAACACGAGCTCTTATTTACATGTCTTTTCGCATTGGAAATCTCATTGTTCTAGAAAATTCTCTATGACGAATTGGTCACTTTGATCTGAAAGTAGAAATATTTCATTTAACATTTTGCTCGTAGTTAACTAGTTTCATCGTTGAATTTTCCATTGGCCTGTGTCTCTTTTTTTAAAATTTTGATTGATAAAAATATATCGAACCGTTTATTTGAGTTAATAACTTATTCGAAATATTATGTTATATTATATTATTATTATATTATTATATTATTATTATATTATTATATTATTATTATATCATTATATTACATACAACGTTATAAAAAAAAAACAATGTCATCTTAACAACATTGCAACAATCTGATTGCAAACGTAGAACAGCGAAGGGGTTATTGATCAATTTCGCAGTAACGCAAAAAGCCTGTACTGTAAAACATTCGATTAATCAATAATCCCTTTCGAGCGGAACACTCTTTACGAAAATCACGTTACGTTTAATGAAATTCTTCGCTCGCTCTTTCACCGCCGTAAAGGTCATATTAGCGTTCGAAATTGAATTGCTCCTCGAGAGCGAAACAGTTGCAAACAGTTCACAGTTTTCGTTCGATTATTCCCCGAAAGTAGATCGATAACGAAGCTTTCGCGTTTCATTAAACGGGTTCGTCGTACTCACTTCGATTCTTCTGATGCATCAGGGGTAACTCGGTGTGCTTGAGGCCATGGAAATTGTCTATGCTGGTGTTCGTGTCGGTAACACCGGGTATCATGCTGAGCCCCAAGAATGCCTCGCCCGCGAAATCATTCGCCGTGAGCACGTCGTGATCCATTACAGTGAACAACACCATCGCGTCTGGACTTCGACACTGCTCCACGCTTACGGAGCTACGGGCAGAAATTTTTCAAGTCGATGGTAAAATATGTGAAAATATATTCAAATGAAGAAGTATGTAAAGACACGTGTATTAGATTGCTAGTCTTTTTGATTTAAGATTGTACTGTAAAATTGTACTGTTGGACTTCAAGCAAGAAGGGCTTCAGTGATGAAAGTCAATCATTACATTCAAAGATGAGATACTTCATTATAGCATTCATTGTAATACTGATCGTATGATTTATAAATTTCATTGTGATATACACATCTAGTGAAGTTATTTGGAAGACTGTTTGCAGTGAGTTATTATTAAAACATTACTTAGAAAAGAGTTTCAGTGATGAAAGTCAATCATTACATTCAAAGTAGAGATACTTCATTATAGCATTCATTGTAATACTGATCGTATGATTTATAAATTTCATTATGATATACACATCTAGTGAAGTTATTTGGAAGACTGTTTGCAGTGAGTTATTATCAAAACATTACTTAGAAAAGGGTTTCAGTGATGAAAGTCAATCATTACATTCAAAAATGAGATACTTCATTATAGCATTCATTGTAATAATCATCGTATGATTTATAAATTTCATTGTGATATACACGTCTAGTGAAGTTATTTGGAAGACTGTTTGTAGAAAGTTATTATTAAAATATTTCATACTTTTTCATACTTTCATTAATAATCTGAGTTACTTGTTGGTACTAGAATGTTATATCATTATTAAATCATTATAAATAACAATTGAATGAACAATTAAAAGAGTTAATAATAAAATTGAACAATATAAAATTTTAATTAGTTAGTTAAAATTCCTGAGACTTCATCAATTATTCGTTTCAGAATGAAATTACTTAAAACTGGCAATAAAATTAAACAAATACATATAACACATGAACAAATGGTGTAACACTATTACTATCACTAGTGAACTTAAATAAAATTTGTTTTACAACATTATTACAATTTTATAGTACAAGTATAATTACAATTTTATAGTACATATGCACTGCAGACAAATGTGTAAAATTTTATTTTCTGTTGCTAGATATTAACATGGATGGAATTAGGATGTTAAGCAGAGTGTGTAATGTTCGATGTTAGAATTTCATTCGCGATTACTTACAATTCGAAACACTCGTCGAACATAGGATTCAGAGTTTTCTTCTTGACGTTGGTGTGCTGCTCGGCACAATGCTCGAAGACTCTTCGTGGCAGCAATTCGATTATGACGAAAGGATCGCTGTAACCGTTTGGATCTAATGGTATCACGTCTCTGGCATTTATCACTTCCACGCACAGTGAGTCGTGATTTAGATAAGCTCTCACTGTTAGAACGCCATACTCCGACGACACGGTGTTTAGTTGGTCCTAGAAAGACAAAACTTGTCATTTTCACTTCATCGTTAACTCTTTTTCTTCTTTTTTTTTTTCTTTTTCATTTAATCTGCATCGTCCAATCTTTATAATTCTCGTTCGATATATTTTTCATATAGATTCTACAATTTTCTAATCTAAAGAAATCTAAATACGAAGAAACCGAAGTATATACAATGTTTAACACGTCTTGGTTCTTAATGGTATTTAAGAAACTTTCGCACGAACGAAACGTAATTATTGTTCATTCACTACGTGATGAGAGAAGAATCGAGTTCAATAGCAACCTGAAGTCGTTGTCGATAGAATCGATCGATCAAGAACGTTGTGTCCATCTTGTGATACTGAAGGCGTTCCTCGACGTTCAAGAAGCTCTGACAGTGAAGCACCTCGTACTGCAAACCCTTCTCGTCCTCGTGGAAGAACTTCACCAATAAGTCCAAAGCTTCGTGAAGTCTTTCGTAAAACATTGCTGGTTTATCCTACAAGAAAAGGTCCTTTTTTTGTTAATGTTACCAAGACACCATCGCTTATTTAATTGTCAAAATTAATGACTTACTAATTCTTGACAGAAAGTTATTAAGTAAATTATTGACAATCTTTTTCTTGTAATAAAAAAATGATTTGAAAATTCTGCTTACGCCGGCGTTTCCGTCCATCTGGTTGCTAAGCTCAGCCAGGACCACTTCCCAGATGTCTTGGAGGACTCGATTGAAATTCACTATAAGCAGCGCCGAGTTAAGCACCACCAGGTGCATGTCTAAATACTCGAGCAACGGCGCGATAGCCTCCGAGGTGGGTAAACTGTCCGGCGACCAAGCTAGATGGAACATCGCTTTCTTCAACGGTGGTCTCATCTGTAATTCAACCGATTTTTTTCTTCAAATTTCTATTGAAAATTTCCGAAAGAACAAAGTTTCCCTTCTGTTCATCATCGTTCATTTCGATCGTGTGAAATTCCTTCGTTCTGCATCTTTAACTTTATGAAATAAAATTTAGATCTTTACTCTTGATTTATGAGAATTTTAAAGATACATTATAAGTTTAATAAATAACGTAGTATCCTATTCTTAATTTATGAGAATTTTAAAGATATATTATAAGTTTAATAAATAACGTAGTATCCTATTCTTAATTTATGAGAATTTTAAAAGTATAAATTTTAATAAACAACATAGTATTCTACTTTTTTTCTGTAATTGCTCTAAAATAAAGTTATATGATGAAACTGAACTTATATGTTTAAGAAAGGAACAATAACAATAACACAAACAACAATAAGAAAAATTTTATGCGTTTTAAGGAAAGAAATTTAAGAAAAATTTGAAATTGAAAACGCACAGAATGCCTTTTCGAAACATTTAATGAAATGAATCTTTAGTTGTATCAATGAAAAGTATGAAATTAATGAAAATACAAACCATAAATCCACAGATTAGTTACAGTATTATTATTATAATATAATATTGAATATTATTATAATATAATAATATAATACAGTATTACATAATATAATATAATAATAATGCAGTGTTATTATAATATAATATTAATTCTTAGTGTTTCTAAAAGTGTAAATTTGTTAAACATCAGCAGTTTCATCATGACGAGATTTTTTTTTAACGATATTTGCCTCCTCTAATTCCCCCTTCGTTTCATATTGAAATCAAGCGAGCTGATCGAACTCGATTATTAAAAAATTCATTTTCAATCGTCAGTTTTATTCTTTTATTTTTTTCACTGACCTTCGTACCGATCCTTGAAACGATTTGATTTATGAACAGCAACATTTGTCCCGGTGTCTGTTCCAAAGGTGACGTCAAAGCGGTTCTCCACTGCATTCGCGCTGAATCGCCAGCTTGACACTCCAAGGCTGTTAGAAGCTTCTCGACCAGCAACTCCTCGCCTAACTTCAGAAGCCATCTTCGAACGTACTCGAGGCCGTTAACAGCCACGCACATCTGCGAGAAACGAGTCATCCACCGATGAAAATTGACTTAATAATCATTGTCACAAAAGTTTTTCACTCAGACGAATTAATGCTTTGTCGTCTGCAGCAATTTTTCTCGATGTCAATAATATTCATTATATAAATGAATTTACAGTTATTATAAAGACGTGGATATTTCATAAATTTGTGATTGCAAGTATTGCAATAGTAATATTTTTTCTTTTTATAAATAAATATTGCAGAAAGGATATAGGAAGGAAAGCTTTAGCTTCTAAACGTGCAGCGTTAAATTTAATTGCTGGCTCGTTGCTATGTATCGCGAGTAACTGTATTTGTATTTTACATTCTGCCAAGCAGAGTGCAATAGTTTTAGGTGTACTTCGAGAGATATTTGTCTCTTTTTCAATCTCGTGTGAAATGTGTTCTCTATTGCTACAGCTAGGAACTATGTTTGCAAAGCAGTGTCGTGTCATACTAATGCGAAGCGGTCTCTACCTCAGCGATTACCTCGTCTGTTGTTTTGTATGGCGTCTGTTCCTCGTAATAACCACTGTCTGCCAATTTTTGATGGGTTATCTCCGCGTAATAGGCTGCTGAACTACAGATCGCCTGCAATAGAAGTGTAAAATATTAGACAAATCTTTATCAAATCAAATCGCTCGAATTCCCACGATTGAAATTAATTTACATTACATTTAAAATTTCTTTATTTCACTGATAACGAATGCTTGCTAATTATATAAAAATTATATAATTATATAAATATATAAATTACATTACATAAATAATTATATATATATATAATAATTATATAAATTACATTAAACTCAAGTCTATTCATGTTTTAATTTATATTCGACAATCTTTCAGATTTGACGCTGGGAATATAAAAACACACATTCAGCTCGAAGCAATGAATGTCCATGACATAATTTTATATCTGCAATAGAACGAATTTTCTATTCTTCCAATTTGTATCTCGCACGTTTTGTACTTGCCTGATTTTTTGTTTTAAAAATCCCAGCGTCGTTAACATCCGTCCATAATTAAAATTAACACCACTAATTATTATTATATTAAATCGATTACTTACGTCCACAACTTTCAGGACCAAGTTGTACGATCCAGGAAGATCCGGCCACGCCAACTTCTTCCAAAATTCCTTAATCTGCGATATTTATCGCGAATTTTAGAGTCGTGCTTGCGCATATGTATAGATTATGCATAACGTCTCTTTTACCTGATACAAGCAAGCTGTAACGTCAATGGCTGAGGTACCATGCTTCACGATGTACTCGCCAGGGCAGATCCGGTCGAGCTCGGCCGATTTTCTCACGCGTTGGATCGCCTTCAATTTAGCCAGGTCCAACCATTTGTCGACAGCTGGTCTGAACCACTCGTAATACTTGCAAATCGCTAAAGTTTTATGATCAGACTGCGGCAGGTTCTCCTTCATGCTAGAAATATTACGTTGCCCTTAGGCGTGATTGTTTTCCATCTTTGCCAGAAATGCCTCGAAACGAATTTCAATAGCACATCAGTTTTAAAACCTGGCAATCAATGATTCTGCTTCCCCTTCGCATGTCCATTTTCAAATTTTTCTCCCTTGACTCGAAGAGATTATTACAGATTATTTTGTTACATAAATTCAATTTTTATCAAAGTCTTTTGTGCCTTTCTTTTCGTTTCTCTTTTTTGTTTGATTCTGTTTGATTTAATTTAATTTAGATTGTTGAGCACTTGTTTTTGAAATCGGAGTAATTTCTTTTGAGGAAAATTGAGGAAACGAAACATTCGCAGAAATTTTAATGTGAATTTTTCATTTACAGTCAAACAATTGTAATTTTGATCGTGAGGTATTCGTTTGTTTTGATAGTCAATATTTTTTAAAATTTGTTTCAATTAATTGGAATTATTGCTAAATGGACTATATACTTTGATATCTCAAGACAAAAGCAAATCGAGTTACACTTTTCGCTGTCGAATTAAATGATTCATTTAATTTTTACGTAATGAATAAAATATTTTAAAATACTCAAGTATCTATCAATATTCAAGTTTCTCTCAAACTCAATTGTTTTGTTCATTTTTATTAAAGAAGTATATTACTTAATAATTTCAAGAATAACATCGTTCGATTCACTTTAATAATATTTTACAAAATTCAATTTTTATCAAAGTTAATTTTTATTAAAAAAAATTGTATTACTTAATAATTTAATTTTAAGAATAACATTGTTCGATTTACTTTAATAATATTTTACTAAATTCAATTTTTATTAAAGTTAATTTTTATTAAAAAAAAGTGTATTACTTAATAATTTAATTTTAAGAATAACATTGCTTCACTTTAATAATATTTTACTACAGTTAATTTTTATTAAAAAAAAGTGTATTACTTAATAATTTAATTTTAAGGATAACATTGTTCGATTTACTTAAATAATATTTTACTAAATTCAATTTTTATCAAAGTTAATTTTTATTAAAAAAAGTCTAATAATTTAATTTTAACAATAACATTGTTTCACTTTAATAATATTTTACTAAATTCAATTTTTATTAAAGTTAATTTTTATTAAAAAAAAGTGTATTAATAATTTAATTTTAAGAATAACATCGTTCGACTGACTTTAATAATATTTTACTAAATTCAATTTTTATCAAAGTTAATTTTTATTAAAAAAAGTCTAATAATTTAATTTGAAGAATAACATTGTTTCACTTTAATAATATTTTACTAAATTCAATTTTTGCTAAAGTTAATTTTTATTAAAAAAAAGTGTATTACTTAATAATTTAATTTAAAGAATAACATCGTTTGACTGACTTTAATAATATTTTACTAAAAAGTCTAATAATTTAATTTTAAGAATAACATTGTTTCACTTTAATAATATTTTACTAAATTCAATTTTTATTAAAGTTAATTTTTATTAAAAAAAAGTGTATTAATAATTTAATTTTAAGAATAACATCGTTCGACTGACTTTAATAATATTTTACTAAATTCAATTTTTATCAAAGTTAATTTTTATTAAAAAAAGTCTAATAATTTAATTTGAAGAATAACATTGTTTCACTTTAATAATATTTTACTAAATTCAATTTTTGCTAAAGTTAATTTTTATTAAAAAAAAGTGTATTACTTAATAATTTAATTTAAAGAATAACATCGTTTGACTGACTTTAATAATATTTTACTAAAAAGTCTAATAATTTAATTTTAAGAATAACATTGTTTCACTTTAATAATATTTTACTAACTTCAATTTTTACTAAAGTTAATTTTTATTAAAAAAAAGTGTATTACTTAATAATTTAATTTTAAGAATAACGTCGTTCGATTGACTTTAATAATATTGACAGTTTCGTATAATATTTCATTATTATTAGTAATAACAATGATTTCATTGATAGTTACGTTACGAAATCCTGCAGTGCCAGATACAACTCGAACATTGGCGTTCCAATTTCCGCTCCAGGTGGTAGCACGTACTCTTCGTCCGCGTTCTGGCCATGAAGCTGAAGGCAAGCTGTGGTAACCCTCGCTCCGAGTTCGTTTTGCATCTATCGAATACATTCCTCCCAGTAAAGCCGAACAACAAGCAGAGCCTAAAAGCGTCTGACTCTACTAGTGCTTCGGAAGTATTTTTTGTATTTTTCCACCATTCTATTTTTTTTTTCTTTTTTCTTTTTACTTTCTACGCAAGTTTCCTCGTTGCAGCGAATTTTCGTGAACAGTGAATGGATTTCCGAAGAAAGGAAATTTTTGTCGCGAAATGTTTCAGAGAAATGCTGCACTCGCTTATAATGAAATTTTAATTTTCAAATATTTTTTCGTGGATTATGAAATTCTAGAGTATGGATGAAATATTGAGACTCTTATAAAATATCTTTGATATTCATATATAACTACGTTACTGGTATTATTTGGATTTTAAGAAAAATAAAAATAGAAATCTGACAGTATTTATATTATGCGTAAAAAAAAAAAAAAAAAAAAAAAAAATTGGAACTTCTCATTTAGTAATTTATTTTTACCAGCCACAAGTTTATCTTCGTAAGACTTCGTTTTACAAAATTATAACAGTTCTAATATTTAAGTGTCCGAATAACATTGAAATTCAAGTTTAGTCAAGTAAATAGTCTTAACTCTCGTGACGTGAATTCCTAAATTTAATTCAGACTCAGAATTCAGAGTTTCAGATACAGAATTCCTCTAGCAAGCTCTATCGGTGCTGTTGTAAATTTTTCTAGAACATTTTCCAAACTATCCTCAGGAATTCTTTCTAAATTCACTTAATTCGCACCAAAAACGAAATCCTCTGTGCCTCTCTAATATTACGTATACCTCGAAACAGCGAGCTAATTGAATATGTTCACTCTATTTTCCATTTCGTTTGAGAACGCGTTTCATTTCACTTAGTGCACATGAGTCGTCGTCTGATAAACGAAAATGTTGCCGCAGGAATTATCAAATGTGCCCGACGTACACATATACTCGAGTTTTCGTACACGCGCTCTGATAATATGTCAGATTAAATCACCAAGTTACGTTGCGGGGAAACGTGACTGCTATTTATTTCATATTTACGAGAGTCGTGGGCAAATTTTTCGAAAATACACGAACGCCGTTCTACGAATGAAAACTCGTTTGTTCAACACGTGAGAAATTTTTAAGCGACGGTGAAACACGATTTCGTTTATCAGCGAGAAGTGATCGCACAGTGATTGAAATTCCCCGAATTTGGTTTTGGCAACGATGACTTCAGTAGTGAGTTTTTCGGTGTAACATCTGTTCAATCTATTACTTCATCTATTAAATTGTTTTATTGAAACCAATAGAACCGAGCTTATTGCTATTATTATTTACTGTTATTAATTAAAACGGTCAGGTGGTTACTGAAATAGAACGATACGTGATACGTAGTGAAACTTAATTAACTAGAGTGGCTCTTGTTAATATTTGAACCCGGTGGTGCTGGAAAGATTATTGTTCCATGTATTTGTTTATAATAGTATATTTACTGCTCATTATTTATTATTTATAAAGAAGGATTATTGTTTACAATATTTTTTTAATATACTACAGCTACTACTGATTGCAGTTAGTAAAAATAAAAATTTTATTTATTCTATGTACATAACTTTCATTGCGTGAGAAGCGATAAATTAAATAATGACGAGAACATAATGACAAGAATTTTCGTAAGGAGTGTACAATTACGCACGTACAATTTGAAATTAATAAAATTAGCAAAGCTGAAATATTTTTACAATTTCAAATTTCATCGTCGTTCACTGTGCAGATGAAGTAATCTTCTGAATTGTTATGAATTATTCCAGATTACCATAAACGAGTACATAGAACAACATAGTGCTCGAATATTTATACGAGTCGCTGTAAGTATGTAAGAAGTTAATTATAAAAAAATATCGAATCAAAGAATCTCAGTCGAGCGTCTCTAAAACTTTCGTAAAGTTAAGAACAGGTTTTTATCGCACGAATGCAAAACCGGAGAAAAATGAAATTGCGTGAAAAAGTGAGATACATATTTCTCACTTAGAACGTGACGTTAGTAAACGTTTCGCATTACGATAACGAAGACAAAGTGGGAGTGGTTGTCCAAGCCTCGGAGCTTAGCCGACATGCTTCTCATTCAAGATAAGTACCATTTCCAATTTTTTATCAAATCTTCACACTCCTCATTTTCATTTCAAAATGTTCATTCAATTTTTAACGAAAATTAAACCGCAATTATGATCGTTATTCTAACGTTTTGCTCTTAAATTAATTCCTCCTGTGAAGTTAACTTTTTGAATTTGACTGTTCATTATTTTATTATTAAAACAATTTTCCATTTTTTACTCGTTAACAGAAATAAAATTTCTGACGTTAAATTATTTGAATTCTTCCATTTTCGAATCATTGAGTGAAGCATTTAGAAACTCATTCGCATTAAATCTCATTTCTTCCTCATTCGCATTAAATCTCTGAATAATAAATAATTGACTTTTCTACTAATTGACTCTAATGAAATAGAATTCATTTCCAAAACTGAGGATCAGTAGATAATAAAATAGTTCAAGAAAAACTTGGACTTAACAAAAATTGTTACTTCCTCGTGATCGTTGAATCATTACCAAGAATATAATCTTTATGTAAAGTGATTGCCAAACTTGTAAATTAATAAGTAGTAACTGCGAAAAAAGGTTAGAAAAAAATCCAAGTTTTTAAAATTGATCAGTAATAAATATTGGAACTGATTAGTATAAATACTCTGTATATAAATATATAGAAACGCTAATTATATATGAAAATATATATAAAAAAATTGGTTATAAATATATAAATGTACAAATAAATTTAATTTATTACGCAATGTGATTATAGCAGAGCTTAACAAAAACAGGGAATTCCCCTGGCGTTTCGTAAATTTGGCGAAATTCCATCGAAATTGAACTTGTGACTGATAAATTCCGGAAACTTGCGTAAAAGTGGTGGACACCCTACAGAGACAAAGGTTAATCGGGGTTTCGAGAGGAACGTCTGAGTGGCTGTGCGCGGGAAGCACATCGCTGGAGGTGCAAAACAAAAAAAAAAGAAAAAAAAAAAGAAAAAAAAGAAAAAAAAAAAGAAAGAGATCGATCTGGAAGCTTGATATCCTGCGGCCGTGTGAGAAAATTGAGTATTCCCATCGTTCGTTTCATTTTCTTTTGAATTTCGTTGGGAAACGTGCGAGATTGACGCGTCCGATAAAATATCCCTTGTTACGATTATCAGATTTTGTAAGAAGAATATCAGACAATGTTGTAACAAGCTAAATTACGAATTTAACTCAGAAAATGAAAAAAAATGTCGCAACTGTACGTAGAAAATATTTCTGAATGTTAAAATTCATGTTTCACTTTATATAATCGTAATATTATTTTTATTAATAGTATTTTATAAAAGTAAATAATAATAATTTTATATAATAATAAATTTTATATAAAAATAAAAATAAATTGACAATAATTTGCTTTTTAATGCAACTAGCCTTAATTTTAGCGATATTTTATAAAAGTAAATGATAATAATTTTATATAATAATAAATTTTATATAAAAGTAAAAATAAATTGACAATAATTTGCTTTTTAATGCAACTAGCCTTAATTTTAGCGATATTTTATTAAAGTAAATAATAATAATTTTATATAATAATAAATTTTATGTAAAAGTAAAAATAAATTGACAATAATTTGCTTTTTAATGAAACTATTATAGCCTATTATAATTTTAGCGAGTTGTATCTTCTTTAAAAAACGTCACGAACGGTTATTACCAGCTCATAAAAAAAATATTTTTCCAACAATCTACGGATTTTCCCTAAATCCTAAATTTGATGAACTCAAACCGAAAGCGTGAATAGAAACATTCATTCATTTTACATTCTTTCATTTTTTCACCCCAACGACTCGAAATATTCTCGACTTGCATTAAAAGTTTCGAGTTCGAACGAAATCAACTAAATCAGCGGCGCGCAGGATATCAAACGCGAAACCAGCAGGAACTCTAAAACTGTCCGAGCCGTCTACCCAAGCCACTTGTTTCTACTTGTTGGCAAATTTTCGTCTAAACGATAGTAACGAGCAGTAACGAAAACGAGTTCGAGCGCCATGCATCAGGTCCGTGCATTGTATATTTTCCATGCGATGTCCGGGGCAAATTACGGAGCCAGGGAGATTCATGCGGAGCGTGTGACGTGTTTGCAGCAGACAGGTGGTAGTTCTTTGAGGGAGAAGGGAGACGAGCGCGCCATGCAACGCCGGCTGGGAATAAAAAAAGAGTTGGTGTCACGGTGTCGATGGAAAGGCAATGTCACGAAAAGGTTCACGGCGTGGCTCTCCGCGTCACCGGTGTCCCGTGAAAGATACGGTGAGAAATTACGCCGCTTTTCACGTCAGCACGACGATGGAAGTGGCAACGAATTGGCCGGATAGGATTCTTTCCCTTTCCTCTTTGCGCCAGAACAAAAAGGCCAGGAAACTGGAGTATCCAGATTTTGGATAAACGCGTTCGCGTTCCTTTGTCAGGCGTTTATCGAGCGTTTCTCTGACGTTACGGCCGCCGCGTTCGAGAGAGAACATTTCGGGAAGTAAGTTAAAAGTGTGATAGTCGATCTTGGAAGTCTGGAAATTCCTGCACGTTCGAATCTTTGAATTTTTGGATCGTTCGAGTATTGAATACGTGATCGTTCCAATCGTTGGATCTTCGAATACACGAGCCTTTGAATCTTCGAATTATTGAATATATGATCCTTGAATCGCGGAGTCATTGAATCTTTGAATATTTGAGTCTTTTAATCTTTGAATCTTTGGATCATGGAATCGTTGAATCGTTGAGTATTTGAATATTTTGAATATTTGACTCTACGAATCATCGACTGTATGATCTGCGAATCATTGAATACTCGATCTTTTTGAATACTCGATACTTTGAGTATTCGAAACTTTGGATCATGGAATCGTTGAATAATTGAACATTTGAATATTTGAATCTTCGAATTATCGAATCGTATGATGCTTGAATCATGGAACCATTAAATCTTTGAATACTCGAGTCTTTGAGTCTGCAAATCTTTGGATCATAAAATCGTTGAACAATTGAGTACTTGAATCTATGAATATTCGAACCTTTGGATTATTGAATATATGATCCTTGAATTATGGTATCACTGAATCACGGAATACTTGAGTCTTTGAGTCGTCGAATCTTTGGATCATGAAAACGTTGAAACATTGAATACTTGAACCAATAAATATTCGAATATTTGAATTGTTGAATATATGATCCTTGAAACACGGAATCACTGAATCTCGGAACATTCGAGTCTTTGAATTTTCGAATCTTTAGATCACGAAGTCGTTGATCCATTGAATATTTGAACATATGAATATTCGAATCTTTGAATAATTGAATGTATGGTCTTCGAATCATGGAATCATTGAATCTTTGAATACTCGGGCCTCTGAATCTTCGAATCTTTGAATCATACAATCGTTGAATCGTTGACCACCTGTAACATTGAATATTCGAATCTTTGAATTATTGAATATATGATTCTTGAATCACGGAATCATTGAATTTTTGAACATTTGTGTTATCGATCATTTAAATAGTTCATTCATTAAATATATGATTTTTTAATCGTAGAATCTTCAGCCTTTGAATATATGTGATCTTTGAATCATGAAATCATTGAATCTTTGAATACTTGAGCCTTTGAATCTTTGAATTTCTGAACTTTTGAATCGTCAAATTACTAAATCTTTGAATCTTTGAATTCCCGCATTTTTTAATATTTGGATCTTTGAATTTTTCGTATTTTGAATGTTTTGTTGATCTTTCGTTTTCAATAAAATTGTTTTTTTTGTTTTTAACATTTCCATCTTTCGTTTTTAACACAATTGGCGATTTTTGACGAGTGTTCGCAGAATATTTAATTTGACTCCGGTTTTTATTTTATTATCTCTGACTATGTAATATTTGTTTATATAAACAAAATATTGAATCACACCAGCGTACCCATATTGGGCACACGAGTATCACCAAAATTAATATTTGCGTTTCGCACTTGACGCTGTACGCCAATTTCCATCAATAATGTATGCAATTATAAATGAAGAGTATTGTAAACTACAACATATACTCGAAATTGATTATGAAATTAAACAGACCATGCTGTCGAACCTTGAAATTCAAGTTAATATTTTACTTGATCACAAATACGATATTACAAATAAGTAATTGAATAAATAATTCGCAACACGTTCGACAATCACCACTAGCAAGTTATTTAAAAAACGAAATAATTTTTTCTTAATTTCATTCTCAGCACGCTGTCGATTCGAACCTACTTCCATCGCCGTGTTTCTCTCCCTCCAAAAAAAAAAAAAAAAAAAAAGGAAAAGGAAAAAAAAATATAGCAAACTACGCTTACGAACACCAAAGCCTTCATCAAGAACTACATACAGTGTGAACAGGCTAGGTTGTCTGTATTAATCAAAGAACTTCTGCAGATTGTTACTTTCTTCAGCTGCTTTCGAGTAGAAACAACATTTTCATTCACAGAGAGACAATTATTTTCCCTCTGATCTCGTGAAACGTTTCACATATGCGTATAATATAAACTGAGGATTATTTACAGAGAGCAGAATCGCACTAGAAAGAAACGTCAACAGCAGGAACTACCGTTTTCCTTCGAGATTAAGCTCGTCACGCTCGAAACTATGCGAGAATCATTTTCACTACTAGTGTAAGCAAGTCGGTTCGTTCAAACCTCAGACTAAATCTCAGAAAATTCTAAACTTCGCTAACGATCCAGAAAACTCGAGAACGATAGAGGATATAATATTTACAAGTGATATATCGTTGGTAGAAACGATATATTCAAGAAACTACCAGTAAATCAACCGCCATTCTTTTTATTTGCGTATTCGGAAATCAACTTGCATCGCACGACTCTTCAAGTTCGTTCGTCCGATATTTCATTGAATTCTCGTCATCGACGTTGGCAACGACGTATATTAACATGATGTATACCTCCCGCGGACAAAAAAGGACGTTTCACGCGAATAAAAGCAAGCGGTTTCAATACGACAGTCGAATGTCACATATACATAAGGAGATCGAAGAAGAAAGACAGAATAGAAAAGTAGAAGAGGGTTTTTTTTTTTTTTTTTTTTTAACAGTTCGTGGTGGCGATGAAAAAGTACCTCGGATGTGTTCTCCATGTGTTTCGCCACGTGTTCCGCCAGCTATGGACAAACATCTCGTGTACAGTAAGATCGCGATGACCTGACGGACAATGTCGAAAAAACTCATCCTCGAACGTCGTTCGATCTTCGTTGAACCTAGCCTTCAGGTCACTGCGACTCGCTTATCTATAGGGTGTCCCTGGTCCGTTTCTCCTTTCATCGTCTTTCATCTCGCCTAATTATTCAACCCTTTGCGAAACCGAAATTAGAGAAGCAGATACTTTCGTTTCGATTGGACAGATCTGCCGTTCAATTTCTCCAGACAGACTGCCACGAACACGCGTATCGGTTGTCACGAGCTCCTTTTATCGAATTTTATTTAATGTTTGCTTTCGTGCAAGTTCTATATTCTGGAAATTCAATCAATGCATGAATAATTTTTTGAAACTGAAAATTTCATTAAATTATACAGAATTATATAGAATGCTGCGTTTTCATTAAATTATATAGAATTTTTTATTAATTTTATTATATATATATATATTTATATTTAATATAAATAAATTATATATAAAATCTTAATTTAATTAATAACTTAACCACAATTATGTTCATTTAAAATCGAAATTGAATTTGCAATTTACATATATAATTAATATAATTGAAAACTTTTTATTTTTATTTATATAATAAAATTATATATAATTTACTTATAAATATAATTAATACATACTTACATTATTTATAATAAGTAGTATTTTTATTTTTATTTACTTTTTCAAATAAAAATACTACTTATTACAAGTATGAATATGTATTAATTATATATATTATTATCATTATTGAATAATTTATATATGTATATATATATATAAATAAATAAAATTTTTTCTTTTACAGCTACAGATACGTTTCTCTTTGCGAAATTTGGAAAACTTCTGAGACACTCGTTAGAACTCCCTACTTTAATAAACGATCGACTCTCGAATCAAGTATTCAAAAGAGCAGTTAGCGAACATAAAAATTCACTTCGAAGAAACGAAAAGGATAAAGAACGTTACGAATCGCCAGATTTCCCGCGGAGAGTTGAATATTCAATTACAAAGGTACAGTCGCCATGAAACTGTTTAATTTTTAAGTTTTCAATTATATTTAGAGAGTATTCCGGTGCAATGGAGGTTGAATTTTTCAATTGGATGAAACGCGACACTGAATTTTAAAATTTAATTAAACCCAGGGAATATCGAATGTTCAATCGCAACGTAATTGTATGAATATTTTGTAATTAAGTACACATTAAGTTCAAACTTATATCTTTGAGATTAACACGTACCATTTACCTTCTAATGACATCGCAAAGGGTTAAATGTGATTTACCAAAACGATCTGTCTAATTTTTCAATTTTTCATTCGCTTTATTCTTTTCCAGACTTTCCTACCTGGAGACACCCTATATATATATATATAAAGAGTAATATGTTCTGTAGTTATTTCGATGCAAGGACGTCGACCGCTGAGTTCAAGAATGATCTAATTGCACGAGCACGTCTTGAAGTGATTCGATAAATTATTTCTACGCTTTTACCTTTATTTTCGGTTTCTTTTTCTCTTTCGAACGATAATTAACTTCACTCGCGCGAAGATTTCAAATAGTTCCGACCGAGAGATCGAAAATTTGCGAGTGAAGAAAGACACGATCGACGTCTTGAATAAAGCATAAAGCCAAACATAGCACATCCAGCTTCACGAAACAACGAAATTAAATTATAGTCGTGTGTCATAATGATTTGTGTGCTTTGATTTCTCATCGTCGCGAATATCTATCAAGTGAGAATATTTCATATATATTCATATATATGAATATATGTATATATATATATATATATATTGTTCGTTTCTCATATTGACGGAAATGAATTACACTTTTCTCGTTTCGAGGATTGCTTACCAGCTTGTCCAATTGTTTATACACCGCTGAGAAATATGGCACGCCGTTCGTGCTGCAACATAGTTCACAAATCGTTCGTAAATTGATTTTATCTCTTTTCCATTTCGGACATTTGTCCTAACTATTTGTATTTATATATATGGAGATGAAGTATCATTTGTTTGTAATATATTAATATCTGAAGCAGCAATGAACAACATATGTCAAAACTTTATCGAGGAAAATATAAAAATTCTAGAAGATGTACGTTGCTGGAAATTGAACGAACTTTGACATAAAATTTTAATAAAGACAATTTTAATAAAGATTAGATATGAAATTTTTTAAGAAAGATCACGATACAGTAAGTTATTGGAAATAACTGCTCAAAAATTTTACGCAATCTCTCGTAAGAAGTTCAAATATTTCATTTTGGGGGTGGGAAAGAAAACAAACAATCGTTTCACTTTCCGCGAGACTAATTCTAAGAGGAAAAAAAGGATAGAAAAAAATATGGGAGGCCAAGAAATTCTCTACTGCACGGCGATCAACTTAGACAAACTTTGACTTTTCAGTTTTTAAGGAGCAAGTACTTCCTCACTTTAATTTATTCTACAAGTAAAATCGCGAGCTTTGATCGCGAAATAAAAAAAAAAAAAAACTTTCGACCTCCCACGAGGATGTCAAAAAGCAAAAACACTGTTCCATATTTAACTTTTAATCAAAAAAGTATCCCGAGCGCGCACAGCGAAACGATTGGTTTCGCTCACCTTTCGAAGAGGTTGTTGTAGTAAGTGAGTCCCTGTTCCAAGTCAACCAGTAACGCAGTCACCAGGTTCGTGAAGTCCTGCAGGACCTTATCAGCGTCCTGATCCGGCTCCTTGTCGTAACACATCGTTTGCTGCCTCGTGTCCTCGTACCTAAACGATCAAACAACCAGGTTAATTTCAAAGAAACGGAGGAAAATACGAAGAACGTTCGCTGATGCACCGACCATTCGAGGGTTCCCTTTCTTAGGGCGGTTATTATCTCTCCGCGGATTTCTTTGTTGAACGGGCAACAAGCACGGAACGCCTTCATGTTCGACAGCAGTCCCAAACATCTGTAAGAAAGGCAAATGACAAAGTGATATTTCGATGATTTCGTATGTCGGTGATTTCTCATTTTTGTAATTACTTCGATCGTATCATCGAAAAAATTCTGTAGGAACTAAAAAAGGAATATTTTTCAATTTTTCATTTTAGCTTTTAATGTGCAAGTTGACAATGTTCTACTGTTGTACTGAGGGTTCTGAAGATCTCACGTTATATGCAATTTTTGTACAAAATCCAGGGTTTGATAATGAAAGTACTTTTCATGGAAAATGATCGACTTTTACAGGGTGGCCACTGAAAAAAGTCATAACTTGTTCATTTTCAATCTATTTTATTCCTTTTTTTTTTATGCAGAGCATCCCTTGGAGATTAAAAGTACATAATATCCATTAGTTATAATATATTTTAAAATATATAATATAATGTAATATAACATTATAAAAAAATATACAATATACTATAAAAATCCATTAATTATATTTCCAAATAAAATAATAAAAAGTTAAAAAAAACATGTGTTGACTGAACGATATAAAACAAAAATAACCTTCACAAACACATATTCTATAATTTTGTATTATTTCCTTTGGGAACATAATAAATGGATTCTTTTTCAGTATCATGTGTGAAAAGCATCCCTCAAGTGACCACCATTTTCTATATATATATATATATAATTATATATATATAAAATTATATATATTTATATATATTATATTTTTATATATATATATAAAATTTTCTTATATATATAACAATATTTGTCAAACAAAAAATACAGAAGGCAAATGTCACAAAGGCACGAAACGTAAAATACGCGAACGATACGTACGTTTCATCTGCCGGTTAGGAGATTAACTACGCACCGAAGGAGATAATCCAACTTGGAGATCGATGGCCGATGCAATGGCGGGAACAATACTCGGTGCTGTCGGACTTTCTTCAACGTCACCTCGAGGAATTCGTTGAAAGAGTCCGCCAGACATTGTTCCTCGTCCCGGGAGAGGGTGTCTGTGTGCCACACGTTGTCCAATTCCTGACCGAGTAAATATGCCCCGGAACGCGGGGAAGAACGAACGGTACAGCGTTAGAGAGAACGACGAGTACAGATCATACAGAGAGAATAAGTGGGCGAGATGAAAACGAAACTGAACCTGAAGGAGACGATGGAGAACCCTTGGATCGCAGGCTGATTGCCTGGATGACGCCACCCATCTAACTAACGCTTGTTGCAGTTCCGTGACGTCACCTTGGACGGCGTGCTGATGAAGAATCGTTAGTGCCGTTTGTGGCAATTCCCCTGTGAAGTCCTCCTAAATGACGCAGGGAGAAGCGGATCGTTACGTCGATAAATAGGTTTCTTCGTTAAATAGGCGAGAACAAGAGGGAGCAATTTAATTCTAAGCTACTGGTCAGAGCAAATGAAAATGACAGGTGGTTATCCGGTCGAAATGAAATGAAAGGATGATGGCGCAATGACAGGGGCACAGATTTGGTCTCATTGGACTGTGGATTTTTCCATGAATTTTGTGTGGTGACTTTGAAATTTAAATATCCTACGAGCGCGTGTAAAAATTCGCAATATTGTTGATAGAGTTGATTATGTTCATGTTGAAGTATTGGACAGTGGATTTTCTTGAAAAATATAGAACCAATATAGAAACGTTGGTGAGTTTAAATTTAAATTTCGTACACGTACGTAAAAAACAATTGCATTAATTTCTTCCTCTCCTGCATTTTTTGGAGACACGTACGTTTCAGTTTTATTTTTATTCGCGTAAGTACACGACGACAGCGGAGATTTATTTACGGAAATATTTAGAAGCTCCTTTGATCTTCATTTTCTATAAAAGTGCCGAGTATCTACGACGTTGGTTTATTAATATTTAGCGGAATAAAAATAGAAGAAAGACGGAGATCTCTCTCTCCTCCAGGGAAGTATTTTATATTTAGAAGCACATTTTATTTTCACTAAATATATACTACGATCGCCATCGGCAGTTTCTATTATAAAAAATATAATATAATCCGTGTTAATATACGTATGATGTAAAAAAAATTAATAATATATTCACGTGGTACTTTTTTCTTTCACAGAATTATTAAATTTAACAGAATATGCGAAGTATCTCGTTCATTTCACGTTTCACAACATTTTAAAACCAAATTGAAAACCGTAGTACATTTTTCCCGAATTTCGCGAGGCTCGTGCATAAATATTTAAATACCGTAGATATTAAATGTTGGACAAATATTATCCGCCGCGTGCATTATGAGAATTTCCATTTCCAAAAACATCTCGCCGCTCCCCTCCCCTCCCCTTTAATGAATTTTTTACGCTTGAATCGAGAATCTGCGTTCGTTGCGAATTTTCAAAAATTTAAATCGAAATACGATTGCATATTTATGTTTAGATTTATATTTTTTGTTTGTTCACGATGCGTACTCCTTGTTTGTTCATCTCGTGATTGAGAAACACCGTGTACAGTCGCTCCTGTTGCCTCAGCTCACCCCAATTGTCTTCCTCGGACGTTCCGCGATCCTCTCTCGTTGACAACCACATTTTTAATCTAATTCTACCTTGAATAGTGCTTCGTTGCGTTCTGGCCTCTAGTTTGTACCATCGGTCCAGCCCGGTGCTTGGAATATCCTGACAACAAACGGATTCCACTCTCTTTATTATTCCCGATCGGTGCTAGAATATAGGAAAAAAAGGAAAGAGGGAAAGAACGAAGAATGAGAACTGCAGCTTTGAAAGCTAACGTCGAGTAACACTGTCTTCATCGATCGGTAGACAGCAATAATAGTCGTCCGTGACCATTAACCGTGGAAACTGATTTTCTGTGCTGATGGGAGGTAATTTTTTTCTTATCAAGTATTGTATATGTCAAACGATCAATACAACTGTCACAATTGTAAATTGTATTTTATATACATTGGACGAATCGTTTTATATTTATCTTCAAATACGTTGTTCCTCCGTCGCCGGATGAAAAAAATTTCAGATCAGTGAACTGTCCAAGTATTCCAAAAGCTGAATTTAATAAATGGAGTAGAGTTCGAGGGGACTTGATAAATTCTCACGCCGGATGAATAATTCATACCTTGCAACTCAACTTCAGCCGATTGTCGCGAAAGTAAATACCAACGTCCGAGGAAAAATATGGAAACATTGCGTAAAATTTATTTTTAATATTGGAAATTGAAATTACGAAGAAGTTGAGAGATTGCTGAATGAAATTGAATGTAAATCTCTGCGATTCCGGTTGTCGTGGAAAGTGAAATTAAAAAATTAAATAATGTAATATAAAATTATAAATATAATATAAATTTAAAATAACATATATATAATATATTGTAATGACAAGTATAATTATAATTATAATATATCATAATAACAAAGATAATTATATTATTACAACTATCTTGTACTAAAATTATTATAATATAATTATAATATATTATAATATCAACGTCCGAGGGAAAATATGGAAACATTGCGTAAAATTTATTTTTAATATTGGAAATTGAAATTACGAAGAAGTTGAAAGATTGCTAAACGAAATTTGAATGTAAATCTCTGCGATTCCGGTTGTCGTGGTTGAATTAAAGTTGAATTAAAAAATTAAATAATATAATCTAAAATTATAAATATAATGTAAATTTAATTAGATATTAAATTTATATTATAATTAATATAAATTAGATTAAATAATGTAATATAAAATTATAAATATAATATAAATTTAAAATAACATATATATAATATATTGTAATGACAAGTATAATTATAATTATAATATATCATAATAACAAAGATAATTATATTATTACAACTATCTTGTAATAAAATTATTATAATATAATTATAATATATTATAATATGAATATAAAGAATTCGCGCCAGTAAATACCAACGTCCGAGGAAAAATATTGAAACGCTGCGTAAACTTTCTTTATTTAAAATTGGAAATTGAAATTACGAAGAGGTCGAGAAAGTACTAAACGAAATTGAATCTAAATCTCTGTAATTCCGTTTCCGTGAAAAGTGAAATTAAAAGATTAAATAATGTTTAATAAAATTATAATATAATATAGTATAAATATAAAACAATATATATGTAATATATTATAATATAAATATAAAATAATATATATGTAATATACTATAATATAAATATAAAATAATATATATATAATACAAATATAAAGGATTCGCTGGGGATACCTGGAGAGGAATGTTCACGCAGCCTAGAAAATCATCCTGGCCCCCGGATCTCGCGCTCTGCGCGATCTGCTTGAAGAATCTTCCAAGGCCCTTGACACCGCGTACCTCGTTCAGCTTGCTCACTGCATCGAACACGGAGGACTCGTCGTCGTGGTCCCTGAAACTATGTCTGTCAGGGCAACACAAACACTTCCGACAGGAAGAGACACGGATTTGGAATTTGCGTGAAAGAATCCCTCGGGAGAAAAACTGTTCGTTCGATTAATCCAACAAACAACGCCAAACTGATCGACCCTATTTTTCACGAAATCAACAATTTCGCGTTGTACATATGCATCTCAAAAAATACATCTTATCATATAAATATATATTTAAATAAATATTTACAATAAATATATATTTATCACGAGAAAATAACGCAAATAATTGTAAAATGAAAAGAAGAGCTTTGTATCGATAATTGTAATAATTCCTCTATTATTTGAATTTGTGGAGTTGATCAACCTGATCTTTTGGAGTATATCGATCCATATTTGTGGATATAACGTCAGAAATAATGTAACAAACGTTTGTACTTGTCTGGAACAACTTAATACGAAGAATGTTATATAAATATAATATGAAAAAAACGAAACAGTTTTTTAAACTAAAATGGAGCGGATAATTTGGGTGAAATAATATTTTGTTCATAGTTCAATCAATGACAACGTAACAGATTCATAAATAAAAATATGCTTTTACCAAAATGAAAACACGTGCGCGTTCATCTCCAACATTAAAGAAAAAAAAAAAAAAAAAAACAGAAAAAAGGTAGACGTGCATTTCACTAAAAGTTGTAAATACTAACTGATTCCACATGGAAATCTGAAACTTTCATTCGGATCAGCGCTCTGCGAAAAGCAAATAATCATAACGTTCGCGAGAAAATGCGAACGCAAACCAGCTCTCGGGTAAACGACGGCACTCACCATATGTCCAGGTGCAGAATGTCCGTGTTGATGTCGTCGATGTCGCTGAAAAGCAAGGAACAGAGAGTTAAACATTAAACCATATTTTTGTTACGTTGATCCGACACAGCGATTTCGCGACGACGCGTTCCCGATCGTTTTTCTGGTTTTCGACAGAGAAAGCAACCAGTATAAAATGGCAACAAGAGGATAAAGAAAAGTAGAAAGAAGAAGAAGAAGAAGAAGAAGAAGAAGAAAGTTGCCAAGGGTTTGCTTACAAACGAAACTTCTCGTTCCATCGTGGGCTCAGCGTGTGCTGCTTCACAGTGGTCGCGCGTATAAACTTGGCTGGCACCGCGCCGCTCAGTGATTCTCGATGCTCGCGTCTGCTCGTGTGCTCCTTGCGCTTGAACGACAACCTGAAACTGATTCCCAACGACTACAATAGCATCCACAGATAGATATTCCACGCGCCTTCTTTAATCCCTTTCGGGGGCTTCGCGGGACACGTACGCCCCCCTCGGTTAATCTAGTATCGAAACGAAAATTTTCGTTTCCTTCGTTGGGACTCGCGTCTTGCAATTTGTCGCCGGTGATAAAAAAACTCCGCGTGACGAAATTCAGCCTTGTATTTTCGTTTCGCATTCGAGGGAATTTTAAACGTAAAATTGTCATCATAATGGATCAAAAATACTAATAATTGAACAGTTGCTCGAGGCGATGATGTACATATGTATGTATGAAGTTTCATTTAGTTAACGTAAATGTGTATTTGGTGATGTTTATTATACGTGTATTTTACTTTTTATTAAATTCATCCTTTGAGCTTCCTATTCATCGTTATCAACGTGGTGACTTTAATTAAACGTGCGATTTGTTTTAAAAAAAAAAAAAGAAGCTTTATTTAATGGCTTCTTGAAACAATTTTTTAAATCGCTGTCACTTGTCTGTCAACTTTTTATTGAAAAGTCGATCGCAACGAAATGCGAGTTCTTTACCTTGCTGAAGAATAACTGATTCTATAACGCGAAACGCTAATTAATTAGTCCAACTGCATTATATTTTATTTGTTACAGAAATTGTGACTCGCGGCAACAGAAGAACATGCCGCATTAAATCATCGCGAGAAAGAACATAAAAAAGGAATAACTTAAAACATTAAAAAAAAACCCAATAGCATTCTGCTATAAACAATTTCATTATAATTAATTAATTCAACNTGCATTATATTTTATTTATTGCAGAAATTGTGACTCGTGGCAACAGAAGAACATGCCGCATTAAATCATCGCGAGAAAGAACATAAAAAAGGAATAACTTAAAACATAAAAAAAAAAAAACCAAGTAGTATTCTACTACAAACAATTTCACTACATAACAGAGTTTCAATTCGTCGTTCAGAAATTGGCCACCAATAAACTCAAGAACCATCGATTCCTACCAAATATCACATAACCGCGTGCAAACTCGTTTCAAACTAAATCCGAACTATCGAACCAATTTCCCCGGGAACGTCACGCTTAATCGAATTAACCCGATGATCCCGATCACTTTCAGCCAATCTCGACGCGATCCTTCGTCCAAAATTTCGAGCGTATGAAATTCGACGTTCCGTTTCGTTACTTTCGCACGTCTCGAAATTTGTTGCTCACATTTTCTTCAGTCGTTTCTTGGCCAGTTTCTCGACGTTCGGCATCACGGCCGTTTTCCAACGCTCGATCTCTCGCCTAAATCGCAGGAAAGTGAGGCACGTGGCGGCGAACGTTGGCGGTCTCGTTAGTCGCGTCGACACGATGCCAACTGAGAATTAATCGCGTTGCTGGCTGCACGTGGGGACAATGACGACGAGATAGAGCCACGAAACGCTCGATTCTCAATGCAACCGGCGGCCTTATTCTGCCGCGAACCGTCGCCAACAGAACTTGCCGCATCCGGCAACCATCTGTTCATTGTTATCGCGGCTCATTGTGGAAATGTCACTCGATTGGCCGTCTCTCGTGTACGTGTCTCTTCCCAGTTACTTTGACTGACCGATCGAACACGGATGGGATTAATCGTGCAGTTCGACTTCGAGTTGTAAATTCAACTCGAACCTCTTGTTTCATTTGCGACGGAATTTTTCATACTGGTAGGAAGTGTTGAAGTGTTCAATATCAGTGGAAGAGAGCGAGGATCGCGAGCATTGGATCGTTTAATACAGAAATTTCGTCTGGTTTAATGTAGAAATATATTTAGTATAGAAATATAGTGGCGTTTGATATATAATTATAGAAATTTGACACACAAAAATGTAC